CACTGTGTGTGGTTGCTCATACAGGGGCTGAAGTACACGTTCCTGCGCCCCGTGGCTAATCCCTTAAAGTAACTGAGATCACACCTTATACCTGGCGCTTTCAGTCCCAACGATATACCAGTCAAAGTAGTTATCTAGTTGAGCAAATCATACATTCCTGTCATGTCGACCAAATGCAGGTGATCTAACTTTGTTGATTACCATAGAATCCACCTCCTCAGAAGTAGGGTTTCCGAAGTTACTTCGCATGTTTGGCGAGTGATGCACTAAAATGGCTAAAAAATTAAGCTAAATAATGTGAACTATTGAGAAATTGAAAACAGAAATACATAGGACAAGGCAACTACAGTAAACTAGAAAGCAAAATGTGAACGAAACGCGCCGACTAATTTACAAATCGAATTTTCTGTCAAAATAACTATTCTGATCGCAGCCAAATAGCCCATAGTATAGTAGAAGACTAACGGTGTTTCTGAATGCCTATTTCCGACAACACAGTAGTTGGCATGAAGCCGCGATGTGTTTTCTCTCCTTTAACAGGAAAACACCTATTTTGTGAATTATCCGCTGGGAAAACCTGACCCTACTGGTGAATCTGATTCAACTATTATTTCCACGCTGAATCCTTGGGTGGTAAATGTAGCTATCTCAGACTGCTACCGAAGCTTCTGGTGCTACGTTTTGGTCACTCGAATGGATAATCATGACATGTCGGTCCGCTACGTGTTTGCAATGATGCTAAACAACCTGAAAGTCTTGGGCGAAATCGGAAAACTTTTACTTGTAGATTAACAGACTTGTTGTTCATATTATCTTGAGAAGACAATCTGTAGCTATCTCTTTAATTCTTATTCAGAAATAGTCTGTAATAATTGGCAGTCTCTCAGTTGAATCTAGGAAGGCATTACGAGGCCATATTCTGTAGTCACTAGAGCCTTAGCCATATGGGGAAATAATCCAGCGGAATTAACGCCATCTCATATACTGGTTTTTAACACCCGAGTATATACCCCCTACTCGGAGAGGATGCCTACGTCACCAGAGTCCAGTGTTGAAACTACGAAGGTAGAACCATGTGAATATGATACCATACTTGTCTCCATTGGAATCCATTTGTCACACATGGCAAAAATAAAAATAAACATTCAAAACGTCGTAGGATGTCGAAGGCGTTTTCGAGGAAAGGTGGTGGCTACCTGGTCAGTAGTTCTGTTGCCTGCAAGAGCAACTCGAAATTTAATTGCAACTTTTTCGAGTGGCACTGCCTTTGTGACGGGGAGTGCCGAAACCATAATATGAAATTACTCGGAATAACCCATATTTATGGTTCTGGCAAGGACTCCTACTTTGTCGTTCTGGCACAGCCTTAGACAGTGTTTCACCCAAGAATGAAAACAGCACATCACCAGCCGATAATCACACATAATATAATAATAATTTATATTTCGGATAAAACTGGTTTTTAAAAGAAATGCATCCCTTTGTACAGGCACGATCAGTTATGTTATAAATTACAATCCTGAAGCATCATAAATTAATACTTTCTCAAAAGTTTAAATTGTTTGATTATTGCACAGGCAATCAGAACAGGTTCTTATAAATGTTAAATTGTAATCCCTTCACTAAGGTCAACATCAAGGTTGTGACAGCCGAAACTTCGTTCCGTTTCCCGGTGATAGTTATGGTCAGCAAGTGAACAGCGTATATTTGGGTAAGTGTTATGCCGCCACTTGATTAACTGCACCCAAGGAATAAAAACGACAACAGCATGGTTCCAACAGAATTGGTCAATTAGTTCTGACATTAACTCTTCAGCCAGCAGCCTACACAGAGTCAAACAACTTACAACACGTTGAGATGATGAGACCCACTGTCAATTGCCTTGTACCAATGGCTGGGAGAGGAGAAAGCTGAACTCAAAAAACTCCAATCACAACTACGCCTCAGAATAATAATCATGCATTAACAGGAATAAATATAAATATATATATGACAGGAACCTGAATAACCCTACTATTATTAATGGCTTTATTGCATATCCCCGATAATTGTAGCGTTCACATCCGTTGCTATGCTGGTATAGCAACATTTTATGTTTTTTGTGAGCTTTTTAAATGAAATTTCCCATTGAGAAACATTTCTGACTCACATAATATCGGCGGCATAATGTACTTGAACTGCGTTACATTTGCAGCACCTGAATCAGGAGATGTCGCTTGACACTGATATCTGCACAATGTGATGAACTAAATAAGGTAGGAATTTAAAAATAATGAACAATAAGATCAGAGTAAATTGTGTGGCTGTGGCCAGGTGAGACAGGGATGATAAGAAAGGGAATGGAGTTGCGATATACCTTGACAAGCAACTTAAACGCGAAAGTGCAACGGACCCACCACTTGGTGAACTCGCAGACTACATCTGGCGTCATTTCACCATCACAGGAATACGGGACTCGGGCCATGACCAAATCACCACAGCTGGGAACCTCATTACCACGTCCTCTGATCCAGGTTATAGGTATGCTCAAGGAAAATTCGGCCAAAACCTGCTACACACCATTATAAATGAAAGACTAACTGAGAACTTTGGAGGTGACACTAGGTGTGGTCCTAGTGAAAAGTCATCAAAACTGGATCATATCCCAACCAGTGACCAGTTACTAGTCGAAAGCGTTCTAGTCCAGCGTCCACACGGTCACGGTTTTGGATCTGGTTCTTTTCGAAAATTTACAGAGGGATGCCACGCGGCCAAGTCTGTGTTATGGCAAAGCCGACTGCATAAAAATGCGAAGACGTTTGTCTCATTCAGAATAATCCCTAGATTGGGCTGAACTGTCAGGGGAAGTGCAAAGAGGATCATTCACACAGAGAACTCAGATAACGGCCTTCTGGCCACACTGAGACCTAAGGAATGGCCCTCATGGCTGCAGAGAGGCACACAGAGTGTTCTGTAACCAAACTGGAAAGCTTAGTTTGCATGGTGGCTTTCTAATAGTTACACTGACCATGAGGCCTACCTAGAACCCAGAGGCCGATGCAACATAAGAGCTAGGAATGACAGGTGGTCACTTCATGCAAATCATGCACGTTAACTCCTGGCAAACTCCAAAAGCGTGTACCGATTTATGTCGGAGAGAAAACCACCCAACAAGAGGGTTTGCGCCTTAGGAGGTCCCATTGGTCAATATCTCACTAGTTTGGAAATGGCTGAAACATTCAGTTCAGCCCTTGTCAGACTGTTAAACAGCAATGTGGGTGTTAATCGCGACAGATAGATAGACTATATGATAGACAGCTGATCAATTTGATGTGACCTTGTCGCGATTATTGGTCAATTTATTGTAACTCACACCACGTGATGTGACATTGAGTGTTCTTTGTTATCTGTCACTTTATTTGTGTGTACATGTAATTAATTGACTGTTCATTTTGTCCGTACCGTCAATACTGTTCGGTACGTTTTTGTCCTTTTTTGAATGACAGTGGATTTGTATATTTTTCTTGGTGTAATTGTATGGTTTATTTTTGATGTTTTAGAAACAGATAAAGTTTAAGTCAAGTCATTCTGTTTTAACTATAGTTAAGCCCAGACTCTGTGTCGTCAGTATTGAGGAAGGACTAAATCTGTAGGCCAAAATAATCCTACAGTGGGTGTTACCGGTAAAGGCCAAAAAGGCGGTGCTGCTATTTTACCGAAAGAAAATCTAGCGACTACGCCCCAAATAAAACTGGTACTAGGGAAGATACAGAAACTAATATCTGGAAAGACCCCAGTGTGTGACGACAAAAAGCCAAAATTACTGAAATAGCACGCAGAAGATCTGTGCAGGCCCCTATGCTACTTGTTCTAACACTCAGTGGATTCAGGGAAACTGCCAAGGGAGTGAAAGAGAGCCCTCTTTTCCCTTATTTTCAAGGATGGAGGCAGGCAAAATGACACCAGTTATAGATCAGTGGCCCTACTCCCAGTGGTATCAAAAGTACTGGAAAGTACAATTGATGATCACTTCAGGGAACACCTTGACAGGACTGACAGACTCTACGAAGCACAACATGGTCTCAGAAAAGGCAGATCCTGTGCAACAAACCTGCTGTCAGCTTAGAACTTTTGGACATCATGCTGCGACATGAATGTTACAGTCCGTGTGATGTTCCTAGACTTTGAGGAGGCACTTGACACAGTTCATCATGACCTTCTCCTACACAAAATAAGTCAGGTGGGTAGAGGTTGGCTGCTTCTTCCATGGTTAGGGGACTAGCTAGATGGAAGGAAATTCTGCACTGAGGTCAGTCGTGTCCGATAATCCCGGCACAGCTCGTTATCAGGGGTATCGCAGGACTCTACCCTAGGGCCATTGATGTTCTTGATTTGAAACAGTGACCTAACTTACCATCTATAATAATAATTTATATTTTCATATGAACATAAATTTACATGAAAATGCATGCCACTTTTACAGGCACGATCAAGTATGATACAATGTCAAATAGTAGATTGTCTACAAGTTAATGTTTGAACAGCTAAATATTTGATATATATAAATACACTCGTTGTCTGACCCATGTTGTATCATTATTGAATTAAACAGTAGTCCTCCAGGTTGCGTAGGAAAATCGACTTCGTTTCGTTTTCAATCCGTAGTTGTAGGCATTCGATAGCCAACCAATATTGAGGTAAGTACAACGTTTACAAGGGATAGTAAGCTGTTTTAGATAAGTAAAGGTGCTAAGGTGAATCATCAAAGTGTAATGAAATAGGTAAATGCAATGTATCATTAATAGATGCATTCATAAAGGAAATACAATGGGAGACTATAATCCCTAGGCTGACAAAGTTCATTTGCAATGTATAATGCTACCCATATAGGTCTTACTATCATGATGTCCATTAAGCTGCCTGACTCCTCTTTACGCTGACGACTTAAAGGTCTAAACAGCAGTAAAGTGCTCGAAAGACTCACACTGCAGACAGATGTAAATCTTCTGGAAGACTGGGAGATGGTAAGTGGTGTGACTTTCAACCTGAAAATTTGCAAAGTATAGCTTTTACGCACATGTAGCATGCAGAATGCAAGTCACACCCTTTGAAAAGAAAGCTTGTCCTATACAAAATCGGGGGGTGACTTAGGTCTAGTTCTTACGGAGAAATTGGCCCGAGCGTGAATTACGCTGGAGATGTAGTGATGGCATATGGGTCATACAGTTTACACGTAGAGAGGTGAACTCACTCCTGAGCTCTTTCTAAGGTCGTACAAAACATACATCAGACCACACCTTGAAGTGCATAATATTATTGCACCACAACTGCTTAGAAGAGATGCTAACCTTCTGGAAAGAGTCCAAAGACAAAAGGGGTGGTCGGTCTTCAAAAAGAACCATATGATGAACGGCTAAAGAAATCAGTTCTCTTCACACTTGGCCAACATCGGCACAGGGGGATTCGATTACTGCCTATATGACAACAAATGACCAGAAACATCTAAACAAAGGTGTTCTGACATTAAGTACGTATGGGCTTCCTCGTGGGAATCCACGAAGGATAGCTCACCAGAGGGCAAAGACTGGAGTGCACTCCCATTTCACTTCACTGCAAATTTGCCGTCTTTGGAGTGCTTCAACGGGAGATTTAGCTACTGCTTTGAGCGGAGGCTGGGCAGTCATGCAGCGATACAATGGCTGCGTACAAACGACCTATCCCACTTAAAATCACATACACTATTCATGAATGTACACATGAACTCATCGTTTTACTTGTTCACATTCTCTTTTGTCTTACTCTCTTGACTACTCCAGCTATTATGTCCCTTACATTATTGTTATTGATGTGCATAAACATGTGATATATATATATTTCAGATGTCATTCGCTGCCTGGCTTTACTTTTTCTTTCTTTCATTTTCCTTCTTCTTTTACTCCTACACAAAATAAGCCAAGTAGGTTTAGGTAAACCACTTCTGTCATGGTTGAAGGACTACCTAACTGAAAGGCAATTTTGCACCAAGGTCAATCGAGTCCGATCATCATGGCACAGCTCGTCATCAGGAGTGTCGCAGGGTTCTATCCTGGAACTACTGATGTTCTTCGTTTTTATCAATGATCTACCATGCCGTCTAAGCTGCCTGACTCTTCTATACGCTGATGACGTGAAGATATGGAGGGCGATAAAGTGTCCGGAGGACTCAGATAGACTGCAGGCAGACCTAAGGCTTCTGGAAGACTGGGCGGTAGCCAGTGGCATGACTTTCAACCTGAAAAAGTGCAAAGTAGTGAAGTTACGCACCTATAGACTGCAGAATGCAAGTTACACCTTGTGCAATGAAAGCTTGTCCTGCGCAACGTCGGATCGTGACTTAGGTCCAGTTCTAACGGAGAAAATGGACACAAGCGTAAATTACACGGGGGATGTAGCGAGGGCATATGCGGTCATACACATTACACATAGACAGTTAGGTGCACTCACTCCTGAGCTCTTTCTAAGGTTGTATAAAACACACGTCAGACCGCACCTTGAAGTGCATAATATTATTGCACCCCCACTGCTTAGAAGAGACGCCAACCTCCTGGAAAGAGTCCAACGACGGGCAACAAAAGGAGTGGTTGGTCTCCGAAATAAACCGTATGGTGAAAGGCTCAAGAAATTAGGCCTATTCACACTTAGTTGCCGTCGTCTTAGGAGGGATTTAATTACTGCCTACAGAATAACAAATGATCAGAATCACCCAAACAAAGGTGTTCTGCCATTGAGTAGGTACAGGCTCCCTCGTGGAAATCCTAGAAGGATAGCTCATCAGAGGGCAAGGACCCGGGTGTGCTCCCACTTCTTTTCCTGCGGGTTTGCCGTCCCTGGAATTCCTTACCGGCAGATGTAGCTATGGCACCATATGTGGACGCCTTTAAGCGAAGGCTGGACAACCACGCAGCGACACAAGGACTTCATCTAAATGGCCTATCCCCTTAAAATCGCATACACCATTCAAAGGTAGACAATTAAACTGGTCGTTTTACTTCACATTCTCTTCAGTCTTACTCTCCTGACAGCTTTAACTACACCTTTTATTATTATTATCATTATCATTATTACTGGTATATATATATACCGGTTGACTGACTGTTGTTACGTTTTCTTATTCTTTTTCTGTCTGTTAGTCTGAATACCTTTACTAATTATATCTATTATTATTATTATCTCTTTTCTATTGACGACGATACCGAAGGACCAACTGGTGAAAGGATCAACTCCATTCACAGTAGTAACAGTCTTAATACACTTCATACTACAAACCACATATAATTAATCCCTGCACTACTCCTTTTGGAGCCAACCAAAGCTACGGCAGTCGAGTGGCGGGACGAGCTACGCAGACGTTTACAGAAGATCAGGAACTTTTACCTCACAATTAAGAGGCGAGCACAAAGAAATCAAATTGGTTTATACTAGCTCGTAAAAACGATATTGGATATTGGATAACCTGTAATAATTATATCTGTTATTATTAGTTTTATCTCTTTTTTCAACGACACCGCATGACTAACTGGTTAAAGGACCAACTCAGTTCACAGTAGCAACACGGTCTTCAAATCACGACCAAGAAGCGAACACAAAGAAATCAACTTGGTTTACACTAACTCGTAGAAAAACGGTATTGGATATTGAAATTGCGGTAATTTCAGGAGAGTTGCTACCGTCCTACGCAAGTGAGTAAGTTAGGCAATATTGATCCGAGGGAAGGAGCCCACCGATGACCTTCAAACGCTCAATCAGAGCATAGTAGTAATATTCTTTATAGAATAGACATCTCAATGAAGTTTCCCGGGCAACAACCGGCTTGGAGCCTATGTTAATCTTTTTCTAATTTGTGTGTGGAAACGTTTCTTGGGAAAAAATATATCCTAGTTTAACATAGGTGCTGTTCCCTGACATATAAAAGCAGTTTCTATACGTTAATTTATGGTGTGGTCGGTTTGCTGGAAAACAGCCATTAATGGCTGTGACATCTCTTCGTTATAGTAGCAGTGAAGTCAGGTAAGGAACACCATATTAGTAAAAAAAACTGTTGAGAGAAAGACATTGATACTAAATGGGAACTTAAGTGACAGCTGTTACTTAAGTTTGCTCGGTCGATCACAGTTCGACAAGATCATAATTTTGTTACATTAGAGGAATTTTTGCACCCAACTAATCGAGCTTGTTATCGGTAACGATTCATAATGAGGATTATTAAGTATGACTTAATCTGGAAAATTTCCTGAGCCAAACCTTACCTGTATTGGTGTATATCACTGTAAATAGACTGCGGTTGTTAATGCCATGTTATTGGTTTGAATGGTCGGTCCGACCTTCGATCTGTTTTGCGTTCTAAGATGGCTAATTTTTTCATGGCTGGGAAGTGATTTTAGGTAGTATACATTACCAAGTAATATAAAAGCGTGATGACTTCATTCTCTTATGATGTAGACTTTCAAAAATTTCTGTGGTTTGCGGTAGAAGTGCTTATGATGTTTTACCCTAGTGAAAGATTTGGGGGCAGGTCAATTTAAAAATCCTGGAGAAATTTATTGAAATCCCCCGAAAATGATTATATATATATATATATATATATAGCTCCCAAATGGAGAAACGTGTACTATAATAGTAGTTAGGCTGGTTAGGACCTCACTGCTGAGAGTAAAAGTTACGCATGCAGGTGGAATTTCCTTGACTTGTGTATAAGGTTACTGAGTGAACGGTAAGTGGGCGTTCCCCACAAAAGTTGAAGAAAATTCATTCTGGAATAAATCTTTTAGCTTGTTTGCTTTGCTGTGTAATCCAATAGAGAAGTAAGTTCCAATCCCGACCGATAGCTGCTACCTTGGCTTGATGGTCGAGCTTGCATATCGCAATGACCCAACAAGCTACACTGGTTGGAATTAATGTTTCTGAAGGTCCTACCATGCCAGGAAGGTGGTTAGCATAGCGATTAGACAAAAGCAGTTTCCGGCATTGTGTAAGAATCCTTCTAACACTATGCTGGGGGTCTGCGGGCGAAGTCGTACTGCTGGGGAACAAGGATGTAACAGCAGTAAGGTGTTTCCCTCAGATGACCAGCATGCCAGCTATGCTGTCTCTCCACTCTGGCGAGAGGGTGTAAGAAAGGGTCGACCTCAACAATTGTACATCCCGACTTACCCTATGGTGGTCCGTAACCGACGGTAAGTTTACTAATACGGAACCAATCCCAGAACCCAGTTCATACAGGCCGTGTGTGACCAGTCAGCATCAAGCAGTGGTCACCCTGGGCTCTGCGGTCACGCAACACTAACCCTCTTTCTAATTCATGTACTCGAAGATTCAATCAACTTCCACGGTGTGGGCAGCCGGGAATTAACAACCGCTCACACACTTCCAAAAGCACCCAAAGCCTTCGTGACCATCATTCTTCACTCAGTCAGTCAAGTTCCAGTCGCTCACACAGCTTGACCGCAGTGTCACTCATGTCTTTTTATGCACTTAGCGATATCAAGCACTCTCAGGGCTTAAGTAGTATTTCTAAAACTATGTTTTAAAACAAGCTAGTGCATGGGATCTAGGAAATACTAACATAAATAAATATTGTAAGTTCAGTTATTTATAATGAATATGGCAGCTGAATTGATTTAAGTGTCAACCTCATCTCTAAGCATTACACAACGGCATTACTTCATAATTTTTTCGTGTTACAAGTCACAGTTACGACTGATGCGTAAACTCTATCCCTTCGCATTATTTGAACAAGTAGGTATGTAACTGTAGTTGATTGGTTTCAGAGTACCCATGAGCAGGATAGGGTCCTTTGGATGCTAAAAAGAATCAATAGTTGTCTGCACTTCTGCGCAGAGTTCTACGTTGAAACTCAGTCATTCAATTCCCCTTTATTAAAATATATAGTAAAAATTGATTCCAAGCTAGCTTACTTCTCTTATCTTTGGAATTGCATGTCGGATCCAGTGTTTGCAGGACAAACCGAACTCTAATTGCTCAAACATTGAACGTGTCTAGAAAATAATGTAATCGGGATTATGTCCTATAGGTCCTCTTATGGATCTACTAGATACACACTACGGATATGACTCTTCTTTTTCCGGACAGGTTGCCTTTCACGATGTAGTAAACATAATGGTATCCTATGTGCACATATTTGTTCTTATCTGCTTTATTTTCCGCACTAGTGTATGTTATCACCCTCACAGTATTCTTCAACACTTACTTTCTAAAGGATAGGGATTATATCATTCCAACAAAAGCCTTCTGCTGAAAATTCATGATAGCTTACTTAAATTTCGTTGTACGATATAAAGGGAATTATTGGTTACAGTGTAATGTTATGATTGCAAAAATTAGTGATGTCCACGATGTATGTCCACTGTTGGAACTTCTGTTTCCATGTTTAGTTGGCACACATCTTTTCAGAAATTAGTCAGTTGTCCTCTTAACCTCCGGGAGACTTGGTTTATTGGCTATAACACTTGTCTGTTGTCTGTCTGGTTTCAACATAGAAGTTTGCACCGTTGTGCAGCAGTTTGAGTCGCCACACTTCACTCAACACACAAAGCCAGAGAAAGTAAAAAGAAATGCAAAATAGAGACAGTAAACAGAGATATGAGGCAAAAAGAATAGTAATATCGAAGAACAATATAGTTTCACTGGAAATTATAAGTCACAAGGAGTGGATGTATCTGCTCCAGTCATTGAGAACGATTTTGAGCCATATCACCAATTGTTTCCAACCATTGGTTTTTACTGTCCCGAGGACCCCAACCAGGAAGTCTACACATTCCTACGTGGCTTAAACTAGCTGTTGTGGATTTCATTGACTGATGAAGCCATGTTAGTTTTGGTTTGACCACCACTGGCTGTTTTCCACCATGATCCATCCTATGTCAGCTAATATTCACTGTCGGTCAACGAAGGCGATGGCTAGACTAAACATGCGTAACACATGTCCTAACCATCTCAATCGATGTAACTCCACAGCCTCGTCTATTGATTTCCCCTCTTTACCTAGCATTCGGCGCCTAACCTCGATATTGCTCACCTTATTATACCATTTCACACGAGAGATAGAACGCAGACACCTATGATCAAAGACAGCTAGCCAGGTTTTTCATGTCTTACACTCTCAACGGCCAGTTCTCAAAGCCGTAAAGGAGGACAGAGCAGACTGCTGAGCAGTACACATGCACTTTGGTCGACAGCCAGCCGGATATCACGTCTACGCCAGAGACGGCGTAAACTGGCACTCGAGTTTTGAACCAGCGGGTCCCAGATTCAAATTTCACCCCACCCACCTCAGCCTGAGCACCTGGGTAGGTAATGTCAAATCGGCAGACTAGATATATGTCTAAAACACTCATGTTAGTCAGGACAGAGTCAGGGTTATAAAATTAATGCATAATATATGTTCATAAAGCTTGTTCATAATATACCAGGGTAACTAGACTTTTGAATGAATGAATTTGCAAACTAGTCGTTAGTTTTTTGTTGTTCTCTCTTCTAATTGTTTACTGTTGGCACGGATTGGAATCTCAAAAGGGAGATAAGTTCCTTGAAGATTACAGATACGTCTTGCTGATCGGTGAATGCCAACAAGCACGAAACCTGAGTCGAAGGTTTTCTGTCGATTGCCTTCAACCATATAATACGAAAACAATTTAAAGTGCACCGAGCATGGTGGCCACATTGTAAGCTTGACTGATAGAATTCAGTCTGCGGCAAACAAAGGACCAGATGCATGACAGGAGTTACTTACAACCTGGTATCCAATCAAAGTATTTCTAGTGTCCTGTTAACTTCTTTCTAAGATATTGACTTGAATTGTAACTTATTTGGTCAGTAGACACTTGTACCAGAATTTAAGTTGCTTCCATATTTCTTAGATACCGTTCTTATCTCTCTATTGTTTCACTATTCATTATTTTGTTCTTTTCTATAACATCAAAAGCCCAACAAATTCCGTATATGCGTTTAGCGCTGTTTTTTAATGTCGAATTTTCTTTATTTTATAAATTTAAAGTTTTTCTTATCAATGTATTTATTATTGTTTTTTTTTAGAAAATGTCTGATTCACTGGTGACGAATGATTTCACACGATCACTGATCTGTGGTTTATGCATGAAAAAGTCTGCATATGTTTGTCCTCGTTGTGGAATTAATTACTGTTCTTTAAATTGTTATCGTGATGAAAGGCACAAGAATTGTTCAGAATCATTTTATCAAGATTGTTGTATTCAGTCGCTACGGTCTACTTTCGCCAGTCAATCAGAAAGATCAAGTATGACAGAGATATTAAAGCGTGAATCATCTGCTATGTCTGAGATTCCTCATCTGACAGACGTGGACACCAAAGGAAATAATAATGAACAGATTAGTGATGAAGATGATGAAAGTGACGATGGTGATGATGATGATGATGACGATATTCAAAGTCGGTAAGAATTTCTCAAAGTCTTTTAATGCTGGTTTTTTTATTCCTTTACGTTCCCAGTGGAACATAAGGCGCCTTCAAGCTAGAGGCTTGAAGTTTCTGTAGCAGTGGTGTTTTATTTTCACGGGATGGGGTTGCTAGCCTCATGTTCAACCTTCCCTCTTTACCAGTCTTATTACTGGCTTAACGAGGTAAAGGAGTGCGTCTGTGGCCGGGGATCGAACCCCGGACTACATGCATGCGTGGTTGGCGACCATTCTACCTCTGTGCCACCGACGCACTTTTTTACTGCTAGCATTATTCATTTTAATTGATGTGTGTTAAACGTAGTTAAGATAAATAGGAAAATAAAACTGGAAAATTATATAAGGATAGGTTACATATTAACCACTTACACTGACTGGAACTAGTGTTCCTGCAGGGCCTGCCCTACCATTCTAGAAAGGTTGTTCAATAGCTGTTAGACTAAAATCAGTTACCGTCATAGTGTAAGTCTTTTACACTATGTCGGGAGTCTGTGGACGAAATTATTTACTGCTGGGAAATAGGTATGTAACAGCAGTAAGGTGTTTCTTTCAGATGACCAGCAAGCCGGCTGTGCTGCCTGTCTGCTGTGAAAAGGGAGGAGTTAGAAAGGGTCAGCCCCGAAAATTATACATCCTGGCCTGCCTTTCTGCGCTCCGTAGCCAGCGGTAAGTTCTTAATACGGATACAACTCCAGAAACCATTTCAAACGGGCAGTTGTCCTATGGGCTCTGCGGTCACGCAACGCTAATGCTTTTTCTGTTTGGGCTATCCCGAGTAAGAAATCTCAGTTGTTCAGAATGTTAGCGAAGTGAAATCTTCCACCGATGAATCAGAAGAAAGCTGAGACTTACTAGGTGACGAGTCGTATCATTCATCATCTCAATATTGAAGTTTTCTCAATTTAAGATACTGAAATTAGTGACTACAAGACCTCACTAACGAGGCTAAAATTGTCTGTCTGGATTCAACATAGAACTTGGCACCGAAGTGCAACAGTTCGAGTTGCCACGTTCCAAATACCACACAAAGGTAGACAAGAAAATGAGTGAAGAGAATCAATAGAGTTTTGACAAGTAGAAGAGTGAAACTGAATGAGTAATGGTAGAAAGGAATATGAAAGATTACAGAGACTGAATACATCTGCGCCATTGAGCCATGTCACCTATTGTCTCGAGCCATTGATTCTTAGAGTCCCGAGGGCCCCAACCCGGAAGTCTGCATCTCCCTACCTGACTCAGTTTAACTGTCAAGGATTTCATGGGTTGTTGTCATGTTTTTGTTTGGCCACCACTTACTCTTTTCCAACCTGCACCTATATCAGCTAGTAATGCCAGTCGGAAGGGGGAGGCGATGGTTAGGCATGCGCAGCACGTCACCTAGCCATCTCAATCTATGTAACTTTATAGCCTCGTCGATTGATTTTCCCTCTTTGCCCAACACTACGCCTAACGTCAACATTACTTACCTTATAATGCCTAACGTGAGAAAGAGATCGTAGACATCTATGATCAAAAACAGTCAACCTTTTCATGTCTTCAACTCGTATTGGCCATGTTTCAGAGCCATAGAGAAGGACGGAGCGAACTGCTGAGCAGTACACACGTCCCTTGGTTGATAGTCGGATTTCACGCCTACGTCAGAGATGGTGTAAGTTAGCGAAAGCAGCCCGAGCTTTTTGGATCCGTGCTGAGATTTCGTCGCCAATCAGCCGGTTGGTGCTGATACAACTTCCCAAATAGGTGAAGTGGTCAACATGTTTTATCACTTCACTCCCTATCACTAAGCTAGGAATTGACGTAGTCCAGTCCTGTAGCAGCATTTTACATTTTACAGGGGCGAATCGCATGTCACACATACGGAGATTGCTGCTCAAGGTGTTCAGAAGACTCGGCATTTTGTCAGCATCCTCCCCTAACAGGACTATGTCATCTGCATATTCTAAGTCCATAAGACTATTCCCTTGTAACAAGTCGATTCCTAAGTCGTTAAGTTCAGTTAAGAATACTTCCATTAGCATATCTATGATGAAGTTAAACAGAAAAGGGGAAAGTTTAACAAGGCTAAAACACTGACAATGACACAGACGTCCTTAAAAATTTCACACATTTCAGTTTGCATGGAGAATAATTATTTTTTACAAAAATTTTTTAAATACTCCCATATAGTGAATCATAAAAATTGGCTTTTAAGGTTGCGTATTCTTTTCGATCTATTCTCTTGAAGCTTTCACAGTTTTCAAATCAAACGTATCCACCGGAACCCTGGTTGTAATCATAATGATAATAAATTTAGACCATTCCTCACATCTGTTCAGGTGTCTGTCAACTACAGTAGTAACGGGCTGACTTAGTGGCGGCACATCACATGCTCTACTGACAACCTTTAATACCCTTCATAATGTTGCAAGGAACAGCAATGTAGAACAATAGGTAAGATGCAAGAGATAACAAACTGTAAAAGTAAAGGTTGAGTGATTCCTGATTGTCTTAACTTCTTAATGTAGAAGGATAGACGGAACATTTTCTTCGAAATCAACAAGATATATGGGATGACCAAGAAAGATCAGAGGATAGAACTATTTCAAGGTGTTTATTTAATGCTTGAATTAGTTTCTTTTTCAGTGCCCTCTATGCTACAAGCATCCTGTAAGCGAACAGCTTCGTGTAGATCATATTTATGCCTGAAGGTGGAGCTGACTATCTGACATTTAGAGGGATTTTTAACGTAAGACCATTTAGCTTAGACCACTGACTTCTGTTCGACAAAAGCTGTTCAATTTGGAACAGTCAGATCGGGAAGTAGCAGGCAATGAGACAGGCAGATTGTCAGCGTATTTAACGAAGTTGATTTTTTCCGAATTAGGCTAGTCATTTAAGAAGAGCAGAGAGAACAGCACCTTGAGAAAGGACTCCAGCTTCAGTAAGCAAAACAGAGTAAGATTTGCCCTTATATACAGAGTATACTGCATTCTGTTCGAGAAATAATAATACAACCAATTAACAACCCAGGACTCGATTTGTGTCAGGAAAAGCTTATTATTTAACAAAATACATATGGGTACAGAGTCAAAAACATATGTGTAGTCCGGGAAGATACATCAGGCGTATATGGCTCCTTTGTCTAAACAGGAAACAATATTAAAATGTAGGACAGTGGCAGCAACATCTAAAGTACTTTTGTCCTGTTTATATACAAACTGTTTAGGGTCATTAAGACTTTTCAAGAAAGGTTCAAGGATGAGTAAACTTAATTTTTCCATTAATTTCAAAAAAGGAGAAGTAACTGCAATAGGTTTGAATTTAACACTAATCATACCAGTGCATAATTTATTATATTATTATCATTCCCTTGGGTTCCAAGTGGAACATAGGGCTTCAACAACACATCTCCACTTTCTTCTATTTTCTCCTGTCCTCTTCAGATGGCTAGCCACACGATTGCCCATAATCTCTTATTTCCCCCTCACACGATCTCCTCCATGTCACCCTAGGACAACCCACTCATCGCTCCCCATTTGGATTCCACTCGAGAGTCTGGCGTGCGATGTCCTCAATGTATGCCCTATCCATCTCCATTTTCCCCTACATACTTGTTGAGCGATCGACTCTCACTTGTTAGTTTTTTCGCAGTCAGAGTTTCTTGTTGCTAATTCTTTCTGGCCGGCTGGTCATTTGATCTTAGGTATAGAGTCACTAAAGGTTGTAGCTGTTGATAAGAGTCTGTAACTTGTTGGAAATCTCTGTCGTGACTCTTCTATTGCGAAAGATATTATAGAGACAAGACATAAAAATGGATGTTTACACGTCTTTTAAACCTATATATAGAACATGTTTGGGGAGGACATATCCTGAAGTTTGAGGAAGCAGTAGCAATTAGGAAGTCTAAGCCACCTTTGTGCGTTCAAAAACAATTCGTCATCACATTAAAACTTCCTTCGTAAATTTTGTTTTGATACATACATAGCTGATGTACTATTACCTCTTCTATTTGGTTTAGTGATCTTCATTGTTACTCTGACCTTGAATATGTCCTTTTAACTTGACCTAAGTCTATTTTCTCACCTTTTATCTTTATTAGTTATATATATATATATATATATATATATATATTTATTCCTATGACAAGTCCGTGTGTGATCAGATTGTTTGAAATGTGTTGCGCAAATACATTACACGATTCAGACAATTACGTCTTCTTGTTGGAAATCGTTTTTGTGACACGCTGGCCAAGTTTCTGACCCGTATAGAAGCACTGACCGACTTGACATTGGTGTTGAAAATGCGAATCTTGTTGCTTATGTTGAGTGCAGAAGATTTCCAAACTGGTTTCAGGTTGATGAAGGTGTACCTTGCCTTTCCGATTCTCACTTTTACATCTTCATCCGTTCCGGCTGCATTTGGTTGGAAATGATGTTTCCTAGATAAGTGAAGGAAGTAACCTCTGTTAAATCTCTCCCGTTGATGGTGATTGGTGCTGGTTGTTGTTGCTTTTCGTGTTGGTTTGTTATCTTCATCACCTCCGTCTTCTCTATGTTCACCTGGAGTCCTGTCTTCGCTGCCAGCCTCTTCAGCCAGTTTGTCGCTTTTCGCCTGTAAGTCTTCGAGTTTGTATGAAATATTTCATCTTCATATAGGACTAACATTGAAAGTAGTAATCTGAAGGGTACTATGTGACATAGCGTTGTTGCATATAAAGAGAGAACCAATTCTCTATATCTTTTTTGATGTGGTTGTGTTCTCTGAGCTGGATAGTTAATTTGCGAAGCTTTCATCGCCCTACTAGGTGACATCTTCAGCGCATACTTCAATTTGAAGTGAGCTTTTAGATTTCTCCACGAGTTTATTAATCATCCCTCCTGGTGACCTTGGAGGTGATTGGTTGTTTGTGTGTGTGTGTGTCTGCGTTCTATCTCCCGCGTGAAGTGGTATAATAAGGTGAGCAATATAGGGGTTAGGCGTCGAGTGCTAGGTAAGGAGGGGAAATCAGTCGACGAGACTGTGAAATTACATCGACCGAGATGGTTAGGACATGTGTTACGTATGCATGCCTAGTCATCGCCTTTCTCGACGGGCAATGTTAACTGACATAGGGTCAGGCTGGAAAAGAGCTATAGGCGGTCAAACCAAAACATGGCACCAGTCAATGAAATCTACAACAGTTAGTCTAGGCCAGGTAGGAAGGTGTAGACTTCCTGAATGGTTGGGGTCCTCGGGACGGTAAAAACCAATGGTTGGAAACAATTGGTGACATGGCTCAAAGTGATCGTTCTCAATGGCGTAGATGCATCCACTCCTTGTGACTTGTAATTTCCAATGAAACTGTTTTGTTCTTCGTTATTACTATTCTTTTGTCTCACACCTCTGTTTACTGTCTATATTATTATTCATTTCTTCTATTTTCTTTTCTTGCTTTGTGTGCTACATGGAGTATGACGACTTGAACTGCCGCACGTCGGTGCAAAGTTCTATGTCGAAAACAGACATAGACAGACAGCCTTTAGTTGAAAGCTAATTACATATGCACACGAGTTCATGTAGTGGTCATTTGATATAATTGCACGATTAAAACAATAAGAAATGCTGAATAGTTTAAGCAGCACTTTTTACTGAATGGAAATTCAGGTAGTCCAGTGATTTAAGCAGGCTGCCAAGAGTTCAGTTAATGTAGAAGTAAAGGCTGAGTGACGCCTATCTCGATTGTATCAACTTCTTAAGTTAGAAGGTTAGACGGAACATTTTTCTTAGAAATCAAAAAGATATTTGAGTGGAAATCATGTACCACATTCAAATATCAACTCATACTTTAAGAAAAAACAAACAATATATCAATTTTCATATAATTACAATTAATCCTGTGAACATTTTCGCTTACTTATGCAAAACTATTTTTTTAATATTCCCACCACTAGGTTTAAAGATTTAAATTTAAACAATGATGATATTAGCGCTGAAGTGATTTGGTCACGTTTAACATTGAAAGAGAAACGTGATTTCAATCGATTTATTGAATCAAGTAATATAGTTCATTTTATTCCAACATGGACTCCATGGTGGTTGGAGAAGCGACCAGTTGTGACAGAGGTCAGTCAACAGAAGAATGCTGCAGTCAACAACAACAACAAGTCAACATTAACTTCCAAAAAATCGTTAGATCAACTTTTACCCTCGGGAATATCACCACATCAATCAGTGGGATTTGTTTTAGCTGACGTGTTACTAGGCTATGCCTTCATTATGAGGTAAAATGACTAATTTTTGAGAAAAAAAACTCTTTTTAATTCAATTTTTGTTATTTTCCGGGTTATTGATTGAACTGAGATGTTTGGTCTGTGTGTTGACATGTCGGCCTCTAGTGCGGATGGTTCGGGAATGTCTGAGGACTAACTTGAATTGATTGTAGATTATGACTAGCAGTGGAATCCAAGATGTGCAATTCATCTTATTTGTAACTGGTCAACTGGATGTACCTGCATTCCCCGGTGAGACTCGAACCCAGTACCCATCGTCTCAAATGCCAGATTTCTATCCACTAGACCACTTGGGCTATGACAGCCATCTCTTGCGCAACTGATCAAGGCAATTTACTCGAACTCACTCAGTCGTGTAAGAGCTTACGGACAGTTATCATCCGAAGTGATGACAACCAGTGGTGTCCGTTAGGGATGTCCACTGTCCCCTTTTTCTCTCTAATTTCATCATTAATGTACTAATGGAATTAGCCCTGATCGACTTCAGCGACTTAGGGATTGACTTGTTAACCGGGAACCGTATTGTTGACAGAATATGCAGATGGTATAGTCCTCCTAAGTGAGGAGGCTGATAAGATGCAGAGTTTTCTGAACACCTTGAGCAGAAATCTGCGATTGTTTGGCATGTGAGTTGCTCCTGTCAAATGTAAGACAGCATGACTGGACTACAGCGGTTTGACCACTTCACTTATTTGGGAATTCGCATAAGCCCCGATGGACTGATTCCTGACGAGATCTCAACACGGATACAAAAGGCTCATCTGGCATTTTCCAGGTTGCGTGATCTGTGGCATGAACGTGATATCCAACTGGCTATCGAACAAAGGACGTGTGTACTGCTCACGGCTAGTTTGCTCCATCCTCCTTTATGTCTGTGAGACATGGCCATTGAAAGTGGACGAAATGAAAAGCCTAGCTGATGACGTTTCGTGCTCGAATTGTCACACTCAATGTATCACACAGAGGCAGAAAAGAGAGAATAAAGGTTTCGAAAAAACGATAATAAGCAGAAATTTGAGAAAGGGGAGGGGGGAGGAAGTATAGTAACGTGGAAAAACAGTAGGATTTAGTGGACACGTGAGATCACAGAGAGTGAATGAACCCGCAACATCGAGATCGATTTTGAGCCATATCACCACCAATAGTCTCCAACAATTGGATCCTAGAATCCCGAGGACTGTAACCAGACAGCCTACACTTCATTACGTGGCTCAAACTAACTGTTGGGGATTTCATAGACTGGCTCCAAGTTTTAGTTTGTCCACCACTGGCACTTTTCCAAACGAATGCTATGTGAGACAACATTCCCTGTCGAAGAATGCGATGGCTCGGTGTATGCGTAACACGTCTCCTAACCATCTCAATCGATGTAGCTTCACAACCTCGTCGATTGACTGACTTCCTCTCTTTACACAACACTCGACACCTAACCTCATTATTACTCACCCTGTTATACCACCTTACATGGGAGACAGAACGGAGACACTTATGATCAAAGACAGCTTGTATTTTCATGTCTTCCACCTTTAATGGCCATGTCTCACAGTCATAAAGGAGGATGGAGCGAACTGTCATGTGGTGTGATGTCAGTTGGCAGGAGACTCCGAACTTTTTAATAAATAATGCTCTTCTTGAAGTGCCTGGTTAGGTAGTAGTCGTCATTGTTCAAGTAGAGTGACCAATAGGTGTAAGGGAAGAATGCTAAACTTCGACACCATACAACTTTGTTCACTGTTCTGACTTCCTACTCAAACAAAATCATTATAGCAGTTGCGTGTGAGGTAGACAATGTGTAATAACTTCATGGCAAACTTTTCAATTCTCTTCCCGGTTTAAAAGAAGGTAGTGCCACCAGCTAGGGATTGTGAAATTAAGTAACGTAGTCAAGTTAATACAACTAACAACTCCGACTTCTTCAGTGAGGTAGCAGCTAATGTTGAAAAATCGAAGCTGAGTCTCGTTAATTTTAATTGGGTGACGTCACTGTCTATGTGGATTAACATTCACATTTATTTATATGGCAATAACTGTTATTTTTAAACTGTTAGTAGGTTGTAGGGATTTGTTTTGTTTCAAGTTTGACCTCGGATTGATATCAGTTAGAGAACCATTGAAAACCAGGGAGTGAGTACTGCACAGTTGTTTCGTCCGAGTGCCTATGACTCATCACCAGTACTCACCCCACTGGGGTTCGAATCCAGGATCTTTCAGTTACAAGGGGAGCTCGTAGACCATTCAACCACTTGGATCTGACTCACTGGCCGGTCGAGAAAGAGGATAAATCCTCACCGATGATACTGGATGCTGGTCACGCTGAAATCACGAATCTGTGGGAGGTTAGAATTCATGGGCTGGCCATTGAGTCGGGTTCCAGTAGCTGAATGGTCTACGAGTTTGCCTTGTAGCCACAAGGTCCTGGGTTCAAATCCCGGTTGGTGGGTGCGTACTGCCCCGATGAGTCCCGAACTAGGACGAAACGGCTGTCCAGTATTCCACTACTGGTTTTTCAATGGTTCTTTAAAACTGATATCTATTCGCGGTCAAAATTGAATAACTGTTACCTTGTATTCCCTGATAAAGTATTCTTATTATTATTGCCCACTTTTATACTTCCCTTTTCGAATAATAATACAGATTTTACAATGGTGATTGTGCGCAACTGATTGACGATGCAGTCAATATTCTGTGTAATATCATCAAATCATTTACTCCAATTTCACAATCGAAACGTCAAACACCTTCAGCGCATCCATGTAATGATGATAGTGTAGAAGAAGAGCAATGGAATAAAAAAACTAGAATAATTAAAAAACCACAGGCAAATTCTTCAAATAGTATTATAGCATACAATTGTATCAGTGATGTACTCAGTACAATCCAGTATAAACTTATGGAGTCGAGTTTACCCTGTCATCCTTCAATTATGATAATTTTACTTGAAGATATTAGTCATATCCTTGGCAATATTGCGCATTGTAAACGTGCTTTACAAGAATTACACACATTGGTGTTAAATTTTCGGAAAATGTTACGTGAAAATTCAGCTAGCGCGACAGAAAGTATCCTAAGCAGAGTGAATACCGCTCATCGTAAATTAGTTTTTCTACAGGCTTGCCTTGATGAAAAGAATCAGGTGGCTAGACGTTGGCAGACACTTGTTCTCCCGAAACTTTGGAGTGAAATATCCACGGAATTAATACAACGCATACATGAGGCGAAAGATTTCAGCGATGCTAGTAAACAGGATGTAGTAAATCAGCTGGTCCAAATTGGCGTAATATGATCCGAAATAGCAATAGCTGTGATAATAATAATAATACTGATCGTGTACTGATTGAGCCGGTTAATACTGACAGTTGATTGTGTTTGTGATTATTTTCTACAAACTTTTGTATAAAATTTGTACATAATTTCAAAGATTATTTATAAAATTTTGTATTACTTCAAGAAACCGACTGGTATTTGTGATCTGTTTTTTTACTAAACCTTACTTGTGTTGGATTGTCGTGACTGACTGGTTTCAACAGCAGTAGATCGAGTTGCCACACTCCCTTCTTGTAGCACACAAAGCAAGAAAAGAGAGTAAAGAGAAATAATAAACAAAAGTGTGAGTGAGGGAAAAAGAATATAAAAGAAAAGAAGGCGTTCAGCGAGGAGACTCTTTTCGGCGAATTCATTCACTGAGCTGTACAATCGCATATATATACAATTTTGTTTGCGTGTGTGTACATTAGATCTATAAAGTTTAGATGATTATGTAATATAAGTATTATTTGGCTTGGAAACAAACGTTAATTAGATAGAAAATAAAATAGAATTGATTAAGTGAATTGGATGACGTAATACAATTGAGTAGAATTCAGAGTAGGTCAGGTTGGCAACAGTGTTAATGAGTGGTGGTTAAAATTAAATAAGGGTGGGGGTAGAGAATAATACAGTTGAAAATTAAGTAAGTTGATCGGATGACGTAACTCAGTTGACTGGAAATTGGACGTGGGTCGAGTTAGCAGCATTGTTAATGAGGGTAGAGATTACAAAAGGGTGGGGTAGAAAGTGATACAAATGAAGATGTGAAATAATAAAATGCAAAAGACAAAATAATACAATCAGTAAGACTGAAATTAAGAAAGATTACGTCCATTGTAGATTTAATAAATGAACGAATTTCTTTTGTGTGCAGAGTTCAGGATTTAGCAGATGAATTGCCATTGCTTCTGCGATGTGGAGAAGTTTGATCCGTACACTTTTAGAAAGGTTGCCTTGTATTCTGTAGATAACTTTGAAGTTTATTTCTAGTTTGACTCGGTGTCCAGAGTCGATCAAATGTTCAAGGATCGAGCTGCGGGGGCATCGGTTTTCCCCTTTGTAAAACCATGAAGGTAAATGTTCGTTGACGCGTTTGGATAGCGAACGCTGAGTACGGCCGATATACCTGGCTCCACACGAGCAGGTGAATTGGTAGATGCACGTAGATGAGGCCAACAGCGGTAGCTTACCCTTCACGGACATACGAATCATTGGTCTCGTGGAGATTGTCAGTCGTAATTCAGCTGCATAGAAGGTTTTCTTCAATGAGCGGGAGAGCCGATTTCTCAGTATTTCTGTAGATTGGTCTTCATTGAACTGTAGGTTCATATAGAGAAGTCTTTTTGGAGCGCTGGGTGTGGACGGCTTCTCTGGTCTGGGTTTCATTGATTTTGTGATAAATCTTTCTGGATAGCCATTTTCAAGGAGGATTTTCTTAAGAGTGTTCATTTCATCTTCTATGACGTCCAGGCTGCAAATTCTACGTAATCTGTGGCTTAGTGAACGGATTAAGTTTCGTTTAGTATATAGAGGCACCCAACTGTGGAAGTTAGTGAGCTGTCCGTTCCACGTTGGTTTTCTGTAGATGGATCTTTTTAATGTTCCGTCTTGTTGGCGTCTCGTTAGTTGAACGTCAAGAAAAAATATCTTCGAGTTAGACTCTTTCTCTAGTGTGAACTGAATCGCAGGGTGGCAGTTGTTGAAGAACTTCAGGATATCTTCTAAATTCTCTTCATTGTTGCAGATGATGAAGGTGTCGTTGACATATCTCTTGTAGAGTTCAAAGTGGTCAATCATATTCTTTGGGCAAGTGTTTTCAACATAAAGAGTAGTAATATGGAAGTTGGGTTGCCGTAGTAGCTTTTAAGCTCTTATATGTGAATAAGAAAGCTGCAACGAACTTGCATTCCTAGCTAGACATACTGTGGTGAGAGCTGGCTGCTGGCCAAAATCGGTAGACAGTAATTTACGTCCCCAATATTGGTCATGAGAAAAGTAAGAACAAAGACTGACTGACTCAACAACCAATCACAGCAGACTTTGTTTGCGTAGGCGGATACAATTAGCAGATAGATAATCTGAACTTCAAGAAACGGCCACAAAGAGATGAAGATTAACGTTCAGTGAGAAACCACCAATCAGAAGACTGTGTTTCTTTGCTTACAATAATCTATAATAATGTACATGAAAATCTATAAATATCTGTTGATTTCCTAAATAAACGATCTGTTGCCTGGCCCTTGTCTTCTGTTGTTACAATACTTTTGATTCAGAGAGACTAACATGGCACAATAAAGGGGCCAACCTATGAGTTTGCTCCTTCTGCGTGCAAACAAAATCTCATCAGTAACCTGATGTTGTTTCGTGCTAGAAAAATCTGCCCAACCGACACTCTAGACGATGAAATAAGGAAAATAGAAAACTTATTATATGCGAATGGATATCGAGAGAAATTTGTTAAAGTCTCCATGATGAGAACAGATAGAGAGAAATGCTTGCAAATTGTGCAGAAGAAAGTAAACACAGCACACTGAATTACTGGCGTTGGAACTCTGAAAAGTCCCAAAACTATGCTTAGAATTCACCTCTCGTTGTATAATTCTAATGCAGGTGAAGGATAAGCTGCCGACGGAGTTTGGCCACCTCAATGAGCATCTATAAATTTAACTGTTCTTGTGGAGGAAGACAGTCATGCATAGGTAGAACGACTCGGAAAGCTCACCGTCGCCTTCTTAGGCATTGCCCAGCGTGGTTAGGTAAAGAAGCCGTAAAGTCAATCATGGGTTCAATATTGACACAGCTTGTGGTACGGAGCATAAGACTGACAAAAATTCCACCTTTACAATTCCATACAAGGTGTCACCTCAATTCCCTGAGTTTGTACGCCTTCGATTGTTAAGCACAGGTGAGGCAGATGCCGTAAAAAGATCTTCAGCCTAATCTTTGTGTTCAGAAAAAGCTTGTCCAAACTAGTCCTCTTGCATTCTAAATTAGGATTTTTTCTTCCATATTAGTTTGTTTATTAGATGTATCACACAGTCAGTGAAACAGTATTATTTACTGGATGACACAGTTTCGAACACAATTTCTTACTGTTCATAATCACACGACTTCGAAACTTGAGTTTTATAGTTTTCTTTGTTCTCTCCTATTCGTCGTCTTAGGGTAGTAGAATTTTCCAGATATCCGACTGGACAGGTGTTGATTCATTCCTATGACACGTGTTCGCAGTTGATTCCATAAACAAAGCTTCTGTTATCAATCTCTCCTTCCACCCTGTGACATTAGATTTCAAAACTGTCATCCTATCCCATACCATTGTATGGTTGTGTGTAATTGCATGTAGTGAGTGCTATCTACGGCTGAACTATTCTCCAGATTTCTTATCTTGTTCGGGTCAACTAATCAAGATTTTGCTAGATTTTTATGCTATGCTAGTCTGACTGCCCCTGTTCTACTAGTTTGACCTATGTATTTGACCTGAAAATCATTGCAGGTTGGGTATTAGATAAACTAAATTGTTTTGTTTAATTGACTCCACAGGACCCTTTAACCGACAAAGCTTGTATCTAATTGAGTTTGTGGATGGCTTGAATGCCGGCCACTTTTATTCCTGCATTGTTGAGAATTCTCCGCCGTAAGGTTTCCGAGGTTCCTTTTTTGTATGGAAGTACTACTGATGATTTAAATTCCTTATTGCTGGTATTGTCATTATCTTATGCCTGTCATTATTATCACTATCACTACTATCATTATTTATTTTCACATTTCCCTGCATACTTTCTGACTAATTTATCAAGGTAATTATTAAGTTTCAAAGCTTCTCTTATATACCTCACTTCCTGTCTTAGATTTTCCTTAGTACTACTTAGTTTTTGTGCTCTATCACTTAAACATTTCACCAATCCTATTTTTACTGACATAGGATGGGATGATTGGAAATCCAAATATCTGTTTGAATGTGTGGGTTTCCTGTAAACACTAGTGTTTAACTTCCCATCTTTCCTTTTTACGCTACAATCTAACATTGGAAGCTCCCCCGCTTCCTGACTTTCCAATTCATAAGTGAATTGAATAGCCTCCACCTTCGAGTTAATGTGTTCGAAAACCTATCTATATCCCGTGTTGTAAGTGCAGTGTGAATGTGTCATCTATATACCTCCACCATACTTTTGAGGTGGGGCTGAACGTGTCAATCGCTATGTTTTCCCACCTATCCATGAATATATATATATATATATATATATATATATATATCAAAAGATAGCAGGTTATAACCATAGTCGTCTTGATTCTGTTGTGTTCACGTAGAACTAAACGACTTATTAGTTAATGTTCAGTAAAAGAAGATCAATCAGTCTTTGAGGTATTATTGATTCTTCGCCAATAAAAATAAACTGGGTGATCACTCTTACACCTAATAAAATTCTTTAAAGGGTTGGAATCTGGCGTATATTTTTCAAATCCACAGAAAATATAGTTGTTTATTTCACGCGTAGAATTACAAGTAGCTACACTTTGAGTATCGTTTCAACTATAGGCGGAACTGACGAGGATATCAAAGCAAGAATCGGAAAAGCAAGACAAGCTTTCACTACTCTCAAGTCTGTGTGGAGGTCAACAGCACTCAGAATCAAAAATAAGATCCGGATTTTCAACTCCAATGTGAAGTCAGTGCTACTTACTATACGGATCAGAGACTTGCACTGCGCGTCATAAAGAGCATCTCAAACAAACTACAGACCTTCATCGACAGCTGTCTTCGCTCAATACTACTCAAGATCAAATGGCCAGAAAAGATCAGCAACAGAGATCTCTGGGAGCGAACCAACCAGGAACCGATTGTGAAACAAATAGGCAGGAAGAAATGGAGATGGATTGGCTGGCCATACTCTTAGGAAACCATCAAGTGACATCACTAGACAAGCAATCGCTCGAGTGGAACCCGGCCGAAAGGGAAGCGGCGAGTTGGTCGTGAGTGTGACTTGGAGGAGGTCATGTGAAGAGGAGATGAAAACGTGTGGGCAGACTTGGAGCCAGGTGAAGACTCTAGCAGAGAACCGAACGCAATGGAGACGCACGACTGAAGCCCTATGTTCCTCTAGGAATTAAAGGAAACAATAATAATATAATACACTTTGAGTATGTCTCACAGCCAAGCACACATATATACTATTCGGAAATTGATTTTTGTCCCTGAGCAACTTTATACATTGCTTACGTCGCTGCTCCTTTCAATAAAAAGAAAGCTTAGTCATAGTCTGGCGCTACGCTGAGATTTTTTCTAAAAATTCCACCTCTTATTGTTGAAACTGCACCTAATATTAGACAAAAAGTATCACTGAGATTGATTTATTGATTCTTTTGATTATGTAATAAGATAATTACATCGAGGCAAAAAAATAGAATAGTAAGAAAAAAAAATAGAACAAATGCATAGACTGAGGATGAGAAAGAAAGAAAGAAAAGGATACACAAATATAAACAATGCTAGAGATATTTCCAGTGTAACTTGTCGCTCTTTAATCCGAATTTGTCGTATAATAATAATTACTAATCGAATGGTCTTTAAAATAATATGAACCGTATTCTTCATACATTTTTCTCGTGATATAACATTCATCGACCAGAGGAGAATTGGCGAAACGACGTGCTCCATACCATGCATCCAATTGTGGATTAGCTAGTATACATAAAATAATAATAATAATAATAATAAGTTATTCTCAGTACATACAATCTATGCAATAAATGTTAAAAGTATTTTTGATTGAACACTAGTCAGTAACTAGTGTAATGTGTCTAGTCCTATCTTCGGTGCAGACTGAATTCTATCAGTCATGTTTGCAATGTGGCCACCATGCTAGGTGGCTCGCCATTACGGTGCACTGTGAATTGTTGGTATTAGATGGTTGGAGGCAATCAACTGGAACCCTTGGACCTAGGTTTCGTGCTAGTTGGCACTCATCAGCGAGGCGTATCTGCAACCTTGAAGGAACTGATGTCACCCTCAGTGCTGTAGTCATCTAATATCATCAAATCAATGTGCACCGTGATGGCGACCTGCGTAGAATGGTAGCCACATTGCAAACATGACTGATAGAATTCAGTCTGCACCGGAGATAGGACTAGACATATTACACCAGTTGCTGACTAGTGTGCAATCAAAAATATCCAATACAGTCCTACAGGAGGTCAGTCGCGAGCCTGAATAGCTCAGTGGTAACGTCTCTGACTGCAGCACTGGGTGATGCGGGTTCGAATCTCAGAAGGGACATCAGTTCCTTCAAGGTTGCAGATATGCCTTGCTGATGAGTGCCAACTAGCACGAAACCTAGGTGTGGCAAAGGCTTCCTGCCGATTGCCTCCAACCATCTAATACCAACAATGTTAAAAGTATTAGAAATGACATCAAGAGAGCAGTATAGTGTGGTGGCGGGTGGGAGGGGGCTACTGACAAGATTTAGAAGTAGTATGTAGATGCAGATTGCTGGCGAGCGGCCAAAATTGAAGTCAACATTTTAAGTCAATGGCTGCTGATTGCACAGGTAGAAGTGTTTTTTCCCTCCGATCTGGAACCAGTTTACGATGTGAAGATGAAACAACCTTGTTGGACAACTTTTTGTCTCATTGTTTTACCTTGGGCCAATTGACAAACAATCAGTCCGCTGATCTAGCCGACTTTTAATGTGGCTAAAATGTATGAAGATGGTGTGTTTTTCTTTAGTGATACAAGATCTGTTTCCAGTTCTTTTATCACCCCCTGTTTGGTGCCAATGCCTTCAGGCAATGAAGATCGCATGGCCTGCTGCTTTCGAAGAAAGAGACATACGGAGCTTCTTGAGGGACTTCGATGCTGTTGCTGAGTTGGTAGGCGTCCAGGATCCGATGGTGAAGATGGTTGTGCTTGGTGCGTATGTCAGTGTGGAGTGGGCCTCGAAGGTGTTCGTGCAATAATTGGTTGTGGAGTTCGACAGCCCGATGGACAAACAACAGTCCCGTGCCATCAAGCTGTGACAGGACGGAGACTAGCCGGTAATGACGCTGAAGTTGATAAGTGTACTTCGTCATGCTCTTCCCACACTTTATGAGAAGTCCAAAACTCAGTTGTTGGCATTCTAGTTTATCGAAGGTGTTCTAAAACACATTTCTCAGCAACGCTGCGCAACCTATGAAAATTGGTGAGCTCGTGAAGTTACCAAGGCAGATACTGAGCACAACGGTAGCCGCAACAGAGCCACCAAGATCAACCCAATCGGTACAGAAAATTGAAGATTTGCAGCACAAAGTAGCGGCGCCACGAATGAATACCAGGAAAACCCAGGGCTCTGAATATGGCAAGGCACGACCTAAAAACCTGCATCTCAAGGGAACAAACTTTTATAAACAGTGCCATTGCCAGACATGGGTTATGAAGTGGAAACCACAAAGTCCTTAAAAATAATCAATCGACAAAATAGTTCAATTTTCCCCATTTTTGCCGAAGCAATCGCTATCAATTCCTAAAATCTGATTTATGTGTATGGACAGAATCAATTATCAGTCTTTGCTTAACCTGTTAACTGGATGTTTTTATTCTCTTTCATTTGATTGTGTAATAATACGATTTAACCTCAGCCCCTTCGGTATAGTGTAACTCTGCTAGTGTGTTGTTTCCATGATTTGAGTTGAACTCACCACATTGTTATTCGACTTATTAGTGACTCACCAGGTTGGGTGTGAGGACACATACTCGCCAAAGACATTGGATCGCGGTCGCGCCATGTCGTGAATTGACAGAAGTTGAAATTCATAGACCATTGGATCGGGACCCAGTGGCTTAATGGTATACGAGCTTGCTCGCCTTGTAACCAGGAGGTCCTGGGTTCGAAACGTGGTGGGTGGGTGTGTACCGCTGAAGAGTCCCAAACTAGACTGGCAAAAAACCTGTCCAGTACTCCAAGGTTTTCCAATAGTTCTCTAACTGATGTCAGCTCATAATGAAATCCTGTAACCAATCAATCAAATCCCTGCAAACCAATACTTGAACTTGCTATCTTATTCACCAGTAGTCTTTATTATGTAACTACTTTGCCATTGTATCCAAGCCTTTAATTTTGTTTAAAGTTGAATTTTCTGGGTATAAACCAATATACGTGTTAATTCTGAGCAATGTTTATTAAGTCCTGAGTCTCTTGTTTATTAACTAAGATTATGTAATATTTGAAAGTATGTTAAAATTGTTTTGTACATAAAGTAAATAATTTGTCTAGCCTTTACGCAGCTGATGAGGGGACGAAGAAATAAACGACGGTACTAACATCTAATTCTGCACAAACTATTGTCCTTACTAAAATTCAGATTCTAATTAATTTATAACAACTGTAATATAAATATATACATATATCGATTTTACAAAAAAAAACAAGTAAAGGAATCTATACTTACCGGCTACAACAATATCAATATTGTCCCATTTCGATCCAACAGGTAGTAGAGGTCTTATATCATATCGGATTCGTTCAACAAGTCCAGGCAGAGCAGCAACACCACCAGTAAGATAGACTTTTTCAGGCCAAACAGAGTATGCTAAAGATTCATTATCATTATCATCATCAATTAATTGTTTTGTATCTCGAAGGACATACTCCAAACACTCCGAAAATCCAGCCTCTGAATGACCAATAAAACTTGGTTGAAATAGAACCTCATGAGATCTAGTGTAAAAATTATTTTTAAAAAAGGGTAACATTATCTCTCAGTAACCGAAATCGCACAGGTAGATAGACAGAAAAAAGAGATTCTCCCACACAGTAATTGTGCAGTATAACATCTTGAAACCTCGCCTACTTTACCAGTTCGCTAATTTTCTACCTGGTCATAAACCCTGGAAAATGAGGAAGGTTAGGCATTGGGCTAGCGACACTTCTGTTGTTCTTTTTGATGCGGCTTACCAACCCTTTTCGAAGATTTATTCCTTCAAGTATAGAAGTAATTTCATTGATCTTTTGTGAGGCAACATCCCGACATTACTGATACCACTCCACTGTTGGATATTTAAGTATTTTCTGCTTCCGCAGCTGTAGCAGATATCACTGGTTGTCTCAGTAACCAATTATGGCATATACACAATATTTTAGTGAGGTGGAGTTTCGATTTCGAGAAGAAAACATGAAAAAGAAGATCACTATGATGTACAGCTCACCAACCCTTATAGACTTTCTACTTTGAAAGTGATCGCATCTGAATGCACAGTCGTCAACAGCCTGGCAATACTTCTGGAAACGTATTATCCTTCTACATCTTTCCACACAGAAGTCAAACAATCAAACCTGGGTGAAAGCTGCAACAAAGATTATGAACAGTAGCCATTTGTAATAGTAAGTAATCTGATTGGCCGGTCCAAGGTCATTTGACTGCGGTATCTATTCTTTACTATTGTCAAACCGTCTAACCTACACCGGATAATTCGCATCCAGGCGTTAGTGGAAATAAAACACGTAGTTCAGCGAAGAGGCTCTTTTCGGTGAATTCAATTTCTCATTAAGTTGTACCATCGCATTTATATACAACTACTATTTTATAGGAAAGAGGGTAGAAAAAAGCGATGAGTTGTCACGAACATAGTTGTTAATATTGATCAATTCATAGAAGTGTGCTGGAGCCACGTAACAAGATGAAAAATTCGATGAGTTGTAATCAGGGTACACATAGAAATGAAGGGAAATATGAACTTATAACTCTTGTATTTCTCTAGAACTCTAGAGAAATACAAGAGTTATAAGAATTTAGAAAAACAAACGGTCAATCGACAAGGTTGCTACCATTAAAGTAGGAGTGGTTGAATAATCTCCTTTTGTATGCATACCTCCAGTTTCTCTAACTGACTGGCTAGAGCTTCAGCAATGCAAGAGAGACGAAAGCCTCTGGCAGATTGTTCTCCACTTTGTAGATTAATTTGAAGGGGCGAGAGGCGTTTGTTGAGATGGTATGACCAGTACTGACAAGATGTTTTACTATCACACTCCTTTTAGAGCCACTACTGTCTTTATGCAGCCATTCCGGATAGTGTTGTTAAACCCTTTTACACAGGATATGCGTCGAACAACTATTGTACCTGGCTGCACAGCAATAGGTGAACTGATAAACATACATAGAAGTGATCAGAGGTAAGATCATGTCTTTTGGACTTCTGTAGACCAGCAGGCCACTGGAGAACACTACTCTTAGAGAAGAATATTCTTCTCAAAGATATTGAAACTCTTCTCTGAAGGATATTTCAGGTTAAGTCCCTCTTGAAATCCAGATTCATGTAATGTTTATTGTTTAGAACAAGTAGTGTTTCGTTTCTCCGAACTCTTGGTTTAATATTTTTGTCAATGAATCTAGGTGAGTATCCATTTTAGATGTAGATTCCTTTCAGAAGATTTCGCTTTCGTTTAACAGGCGCCCGACCCATTAGTTGACTGTTCGAAGTGGATGCCCTAGTCAGATTGAAGTGATGTAAACACCGAATGACCATATCGCCCGTTGGGCCGGTTTGACCTACCTTGGAGAGCTGAATCATTTCAAACCATCTGACCAGAAAATCATAAGGAATATTAAGGGATCTATCTTACTATTCCACTACGCCCTAAGGGGTTGCTTATTCTCTCCAATTGAAATAAACAGTGAACCATAAAATAATCCGCATAGCTACTCAAATTTATTTATTTTATGAGACTTGACGCGTCATAAAGAGCACCTCAAACAAACTACAAACCTTCATTAACAGTTGTCTTCGCTAAGTACTCAAGATCAGATGGGCACAAAAGATCAGCAACAGAGATCTCTGGCAATGAGCGAACCAACCAGGAACCGATTAAGAAACAAATAGGCATGAAGAAATGGAGATGGATTGGCCATACTCTGAGGAAACCATCAAGTGACATCACTAGACAAGCCATCACTCGAGTGGAACTCGAAAGGGAAGCGGCGAGTTGGTAGTTAGTGCAAGGGCGACTTGGAGGAGGTCATGTGAAGAGGAGATGAAAACGTGTGAGCAGACTTGGAGCCAGGTGTAGACTCTAACAGAGAACCGAACGCAATGGAGACGCACGGCTGAAGCCCTATGTTCCTCTAGGAATTAAAGGAAACAATATAATAATAATAATAACTATCCAAAACTTACCGAACTTGTTCTGTATCTACATGGATTTGATAATATCGATCTAGTTCAACCTTTAGATCTGTGATACCCAAGTCCCTTAAAAACAAATGTACAACAAAATAATAAAAAATAATTAATAAAATTGTTAGATAAGCAAAATGACAGTAATTGTGAAAAATACATTTTTTACTGGACACAAAATAAGACGGACAATTGGTAACATTTTTACTTAATTTCAGGCATGAATAAACGAAATAATTATCCATCATATAGCGTATATGATTTCAATATCTTTGAAACGAGCAAAAAAACCGACTTGTTGGGGTTTAAACTCAGGAAGTCGATCTCTGCATTCTACTGTATACCTAGCCTGAACTTCCGTGAGTTACCCGCAGCTACAAAACTTTCCAAAGATAACAAAAGGACAGTCATTTGTCGTAAGATCAATGTGGTTCGATTCAACGATAAAATAACATCAACAACTCAAAATAAACCTCAACAGTACCGATAGGAGGCTATACAGAGAAGAGAACTTTCAAGTACAAAAAAAAAACAAGCACTAGTGTAGAACGAAATTAATTAACTAAAATTCAACCCCGTAAGAAGTACCTGAGAGTTAAGTAGAATATTCGCAGCAGGGTGGAATCAAAACCTTTGTCCACAAGAATCACTCATGGACAATTCCCGCATATACAGTCCAAGGTCAGAGTCACCATAATTCACTCAAACAACATCACTACACCCACACACAGACACAAATTGGAGATTGAACAGGAAGAAAGACAAATGATAAGGATCAAGTCAGCAAATGATATGCGAACGTCAAAAGAATCGTTTACAGTTTAGGGGAAAGAAGAAGAACAATTACAAAATTGTCTGTCTGTCTGTTTTCGAGAGAGAAGAACTTTGCACCGATGTGCAGCAGTTCAAGTCGCCACACTTCCCCCTCCCATGTAGCACACAAAGCAAGAGAAGAAGTGCATAATAGAGACAGTAGACAGGAATATGAGACAAAAAGGAATAGTAATAACGAAGAACAATATAGTTCCATTGGGTATTATAAGTCACAGAGAGTGGATGCATCTGCGCCAGTCATTGAGTACGATTTTGAGCCATACCACCACTTATCTCCAGCCCTCATTGGTTTTTACCGTCCCGATGACCCCAAGGAGACAATAGTCTACATCTACGTGACTGACCGGCTTAAAATAACTGTTGTGGATTTCATTGACTGATGAAGCCATATTATCAACTGACCGCCACTGGCTCTTTTCCAACCTGATCCATCCTATGTCGGCAAACATTGCCCGTCGAGCAAGGCGATAACTAGGCATGCATACTTAACACATGTTCTAACCATCTCGGTCGATGTAGCTTCACATCCTCATTGGTTAATTTCCCCTCCTTATCTAATACTCAACGTCTAACCGCAATATTACTCACTTTATCATACTACCACAAACGGGAGATAGAAGGCAAACACACCTATGCTCAGACACAGATAGGCTTTTCATATCTCCTACTTTAAATGACCATTCCTTACAGCCATAAAAGAGGACGGAGCGAAATGGTGTGCAGTACACACGTCGTTTGATCGATCGATAGCCAAGTGGATAACACGTCTGCCCTAGAGATGACGTCAGTTGACAGATGCCGCACGAGCCATCAACGGTCAGTCCGCTGGGGCTGGTGTGACTTCGAAAAAAGTGAAGTGATCGGCATGCTCTACCCCTTCACTTCCTACCTTCACAAGTTAGGAGTCGATGTGGTCCAGCCCTGTAGCATAAAATCTTATGCTTGACAGGTGTGAATCGTATAGCAAACATTCTAAGATCTCCGCTGAGGGTGTTTAGAAGACTCAGGACTTTGTCAGAATCTGATTGCACCACTGAATGACATGGGTTCCTTTACGATCACAGATATGCTTTGCTGACTGGTGAGTGCCAAGAAGCACGAAACCTGGGACAGGTAGGACTTTGCGCTTATTGCCTCCGGCCACCTAATAACAACAGTTAGGAGTGTACCATGATGGCCACACTGCAATCTTGACTGATAGAATTCAGTCTGAACCAAATACCAAGGACTAGACGCATAACACCTTATTTTTTCAGAATTTTATTCCTGTATGTTCCCAGTGGAACATGGGGCTTCAGGCTGGAGGCTTGAAGTTTCGGTAGCAGTGGTGTTTATTTTTACGGGATAGGGTTGCTAGCCTCATGTCCAACCTTCCCTCTTTACCAGTCTTATTACTGGTTAAGCGAGGTTTAGGGTTGCACCGGCCGGGGATTGAGCCTCAGACCACCTGCGTGGTTGGCGAGTGTTCTACCTAATGTTTAATCACAGATAACACCAGAATGTTATTTGCAAGGCGAAACTTTAAAACCACACTTTAACAATGGAAAAGCATACTGTGAACAAAGACACCTTACTTTGAAGCTTCTGGATCATAAAGTGCTAACAGACTATCCATAACCGCTAGTTCATCACGTTCCTCCTCACTTTCATCAGCTACATCCATTCGATAATCTGATGTCGCAGGAACTTTTTTCATACCACTAGAGCCATTCAACTCATCATTTGTATCATCTTCACAATCTGGATCCCATAGACGATTCAATCCTGTTGAACTGCTGGCAGTTTGTTCTGTTTCAGTCGGGTCATCTAAACCAAGCATATCAGAACAATCATCGACCAGTGTCTCATTGTCTTCATCATCAGGATTTATTTCACCGGTGATAATGCGACTATCACACTAAAAAGCAGTTAACAGGTGAGGAAAACATTGTAAATTATTATGATAGAAGCATTAAGAATGTGATGAAACAATATAAAAGGAGAAAGGGATTTCGGAAGACCTTTCGTCTATCAGAGAATGTACATATCACAACTGAATACCATCACGTTTGTAGTGAATTTTCACAGTGTTTGTCTTTGAAACAGGTTGATTCTATCAACAACATCTATTCAGGTGCACAAGTGACTGCAAACAAGCACAGCTTCAAGATTCAGGAGAAAATAACTGAGCATTATAGCTGCTTTCTCGAGCTTCTCTTAACATCACAATTAATTGTAGATAACGAAACAGCCCAGAAGAACCTGTGTATTTCATTACTGCTAATACTATTCCCTTGATTTCCGACAGGAACATAGGGCTTCAGCTGCACGTCTCCATTGCTTTCGGTTCTCCGTCAACGTTTTCAGCTGGCTCCACATCTGCCCACATGCTTTCATTTCCTCTTCACATGACCTCCTCCTCCATGTCACCCTCGCACTGATGATCAATTCGCCGCGTGTGATGTCACTTGATGGTTTGTTTTCTCAGAGTTTGACCATTCCACCTCCATTTCTTCCTGCATATTTGTTTCACAATCGGTTCCTGCTGGGTCGGTTCACTCCCAGAGAACTCTCACTACTTCTGATCTTTTGTGGCCATCTGATCTTGAGCGAAGACAGCTGTTGATGAAGGTTTGTAGTTTGTTTGAAGTGGCCTTCGTGACGTGGCGCGGCGCCAAATCTCTGATCTGTATAGTAACACTGACTTTACATTGGATTTGAAAATCCACACCTTATTATTCATGCAGATTGCTGCTGATCTCCACACAGACTTAATAGAAATGAAAGTTTGCTTTGCTTTCCAGTTCCGCCTGTATTTGAAACGACGATACTTCCCGGGTAGGTAGGTAGGTAGGTAAAGGAGGTTGCTTCTTTCAGATTTCTCCCAATTATGCCAAACAATTGCCCATAGTCAATCATCTCAACCCATCATCTCAACACAACCTCATCCATGTCACCCTCAGACACATGCCCAACTCGTCGTTCCCCATTCAGGTTCCATCCGAGCGATGGCCTACATTGAGTGAATGTCACCCAACGGTCCCCTCAAGCATGTGTCCGATCCATCTCCATTTTTTTCGACCAAATTTGTTGATTAATAGGTTCTTGATTGGTTCTTTCCTAGAGTTTCTAGTCGGTAATCATTTCTGTCTGGCAAACCGTCTAATCTTCAATATGGAGCCAGTGAAGGCAGCTGCTGGTAAAAGTCTGCAGTAGGCTGTCCGAAATGCTTTTCGGAACGTGCTCACCATGTTTTTTACCTGTATAAGGGAATTCACTGACTTAATACTGGTATTGAAAATCCTAATCTTATTGTTTATGCTGCAGATTGCAAAAGATTTTCAAATTGGTTTCAGTGTGATGAAGGTTTGTATGGCCTACCTTTCCGATTCTGTTTCGTACATCCTCATCTGCATTGTGTGCCTATAGTTGAAACGATGGTGTCTGGTCAGATAAGTGAAGGATGTGACGCGAAATAGTCGCACTATGTCGTGAATTGGCAGAAGTTAGAATTCAAGGACCACTGGATCGGGTCCCAGTGGCTCAATGATCTACCAGAAGGTCCTGAGTTCGAACCCCGATGGGTGCGTACTCCTGAAGAGTGCCAAACTAGGATGAAACAACTGTACAGTACTCCCAGCTGGTTTTCCAATGATTCTCTAACTGATGTCAGCTCATGATGTGGTCCTCCATGCAATCAAACAAAATCCCTACAAATCCAATACTTGCACGGTTAGTTCTGCTTGTTGTCGCTGTTTGGTTATCTTCAGCACATCTGCCTTCTCTATCTTTACTTGAAGTCCTTTGTTTGTTGCTTTTTCTGCCAACCTACTGGTTTTCGCTTGTAGATCTTCTAATCGGTCCGACGTATTCCTGCCGCCTCCTCGTCCCTCAACGTCTATGCATGGATATTGACAACAAAATATTTGCACGTCCTGAAATCTAGAAAATCAAAACTTCACAAATGTAACGCTGAACAAAACGAAAATCCTGATCGCAATGCCAAATTGTGAAGATTAGTTGTCTATAAACTGCATTCAATTTACTCACCTCAGCTAGTGACTTACGACCACGACCACGGGATTTTGAAGCTCCACGAGATACACCTGGTCGAACAGATTTTCCAGCACCTCGACTACGACCTCTTGTTGGTTTCAATTCAGCTGCCATAGCACGTATTTTTTCCAACTGCATACGACGACGTTCTGTCATTACCTTCTTGGAATCATCATATTTATCACCAGTGGATCTAAGCAAAATATAAATAGAGAACGCAAAAATCAATAAAATATTATTCTGAATTGATTTTTTCAGGCATTTCATGCTTATAGTTAACAAATTTAGGCGAAAAGTTCCTCATATTGCATAATTAACGTATACTATTTACCATAGGAACTCTCTGAAGGCAAAATTCAAGGAAACGCTTACAACTGTTCTAGGAAGAAAGAAGAGACAAGACAAGAAATGGCTGTCAACGAAAACCTACCTGGAAGCTAATGGAAGAAAGGAGAGAAGGATGGTGAAAGAGAAGACGACTGAATGCAAAGATGGACAACAGAGGGAGAAGTTGGTTTCAATGTAAACCGCACTGAATAAAGAAATGAAGAAGAGTGCTAGGAAAGACAAAAGAAAATTCTTCGACACAGGACAGGTAGGCCGCACGTAAAAGAGACCTCAGGATATTATATCAGATGACCAGGTCTCTATCCGGGAGGAAATCGACTCAGATGATGAAACCAATAAAAGATGTTCCAGGGAACCTGATTACCAAGGAGGAGAAACAAATAAAACAATGGGCTGATCACTTTAAAGGACTCTTGAATCGACCACCACCGGTAACTCGCCCAGAAATACCAACAACAACACACACGGAAATGCCAGTGGACACCAATCTTCCAACGAAAACAGAAATCCTGAATGCGATAAAGCAACTGAAGTCCGACTAGGAAGGTAGCAGGACCAGACGGCATTCCTCCCGAAGCACAAAAAAACCGACCCAGAGATTACGGAAGATGTTCTCACTTCATTCCTGCAAAAAGTTTGGAGAGAAGGAAAGGTGCCTACTGATTGGAAGTAAGGCTACTCGTAAAACTGCCAAAGAATGGTGACTTAGGCCTGTGCAAGAACTGGCGTGGAATAATGCTCTTATCCACGCCAAGTTAAATACTAAGTCGCATCATCCAGGAGAGAATAGAAGATGCACTGGATACGGAACTCCGCCCCGCCGACCAGAACAAGCTGGATTCAGGAAAGGTAAATCATGTGCTGATCAAATTGCAACTCTACACATCGGCATCACAGAACAAAGCATAAAATGGCAGTGAAACCTCACTCAACCTCAACTTTGTCGACTTCAAAAAGGCCTTCGACAGCGTAGACCAAGAAGTAATTTTTAAACTACTTCAACACTACGGCGTGCAGTGTGCAAGTCTTTACCAATCTCATTCAACAGCTATATGACAGTGGCAAGTGTCAGGTGATCCACAACGGAAAACTCAGCGAGACGTTCAAAGTGAATACAGGATTAAGACAAGCCTGCCTGCCTATTATCACCGATGATGATATTCCTAGTTGTGGTGGACTGGATTATGCGTTACACGGTGCACAGGGAGTGAGAAGACAGAAATACACTGGATCACCGATAAGAAGACTCTAGAAGATCTTGACTTCGTACATGATTGATGTCTAATGTCACACAAACTCGAAGACTTACAGGCGAAAGCTAATAAACTGGCTGAAGAACCAGCCAGTGAAGACTGGGCTCCAGGTGAACACAGAGAAGACGGAGGTGGTGAAGATAACCAATCAACAACAAAAACAACCAGCACCAATTACCATCAACAGGAGAAATTTAACAGAGGTTGTCTCCTTCACTTATCTAGGAAGTATCGTTTAAAACAAAGGCAGTCAGAACGGATGAGGATGTCAAAGTAAGGCAGAATCAGAAATATAAGATACGCATTCATCAACCTGAAACCAGTTTGGGGATCTGCACTGCACTCAGCTAGCATAAAGAACAAGATCCGGATTCTGTTCAACACAATTGTGAAGTTAGTCAGTTCTTCTATATGGGTCAGAAACTTGACCAGCGTGTCACGAAAAGCATTTCCAACAGGTTACCGACTTTTTTCAACAGCTGCCATCTTCCTCTGGCTCCATACTGAAGATCAAATGGCCAGCCTGTCAGCCAGAAAGAATTAGCAACAAGAAACTCTGCAGTGGAACCAACAAACCAAGAACCGATTGCTCAACAAACACATGGGAGAAAATGGAGATGGACTGATCGGGCATACCGTGAGGAGGCCATCGAATGACATCGCGCGCAATGTAGGCCATTGCTCGAGTGGAATCCCAATATGAAGCAACGAGTGGGTCGTCGGTGCGAGGGTGACATGGAGGAGATCGTGTGAATCGGAGTAGGAGATGAGAGATTATAGTCAATCGTGAACCCAGTTGAAGAGGACCGTAGAAGATAGAAGAAAGTGTAAATGTGTTGTTAAAGCTCTATGTTCCACTCGGAACCCAAGGGAAAAATAGTAATAATAATAATTTACTACTATTACTTAAATAAATTACATAAAAACAAAACACAATTTAATGAATTATTTTCAAAACACATTAGATTTTGAAAAGTCTTCAAACAATAACAACGAATAGCGTAGAGTTGGTTTGTAGGTTTGAACACGAGCTGACATCAATTATAGAACCATTGGATAGCCAGGGAGTACTGGACAGCTGTCCCCCCCCGCCCTAGTTGGCGACTCTTCATCAGTACTCACCACTCATCAGGATTCGAATCCAGCGGTTCTCTAACTGATTCCAGCTGGTGGTGATCGCACTTGAAACAAATCAAATCCCCACAAATTAACTCTTGAAAATTAATCTGATACTCGCTAGTGAGTAACCGGATACAGGATGAAGTTTCTTAGAGTTTTAGTGACAAGTCGTGACCAGTGGGGTTCGAACACGTCGGACGTAAGGACAAATAATTGCCAATGGCATTGGTTGGTGGTCGCGCTAAAACCCTGAATTGATAGAAGTTGGAATTTATGGAATGGCCATTGGGCCAGATGGTCCCAGTGGCCGAATGATCCAGGAACTAGCCTTGTGAATAAAAGGTCCTGGGTTCCAATCCCAGTGGGTGTGCGTACTGCAGAAAGGCGAAACAGGTGTGTGGTACTCACTTCGTGATCAAACTTGAACAGCCTGGCAGTAAATAAAGTGAGCAAATAAGAAACAGTAATTGACATACCGCAATATACATAGAAAACCTCGCCTAGATTACTAGGTCACTAGTATTCTAGCCGGTCCCAAGCCCGGATAAAGAGGGAGGGTTGGGGCGTGGTGCTAGCAACTCCACCCCCAAAACTTAACCAAATTGCTACTAAAACTTCAACGCACAAATATATTCAAAATTCTAAAATTACAAATAGTGACCTTATTTTTCGCTGGAATCGGGGAAGTGAAATGACGCGGGCTGGTGAAAGCCTTCGGGAAGCCAGTCAGCCGATGTGCCTTCTTTCGATGAAAGCGAAAATAAGGATGGGGACGTGGAATGTTCGTACAATGTACGAAGCTGGGAAGGCTGCTCAGGTAGCCGCAGAAATGAGGAGATATAAAATAGAAGTGTTGGGAATCTGTGAGAGCAGATGGAACGGATGTGGAAGGAGCCAACTATCAACTGGAGAGACAATAATCTACTCCGGTCACCCAGAGGACAATCACGAGCACACCGAGGGAGTGGCCATCATGATGTCACCAACAGCGGCTAAAGCTCTCATACAGTGGGAACCAATCTCCTCCAGGATAATGACAGCCAGGTTCAACTCAAAAGGAAAAAAGGTTACAATCATTCAATGCTATGCGCCTACAAACGCCTCAGAACATGAGAAGAAGGAGGATTTCTACAGTCAACTACAAACAGTAATGGACAACGTCCCAAAGAGCGATATCAAAATCCTGATGGGCGACATGAATGCGAAACTGGGAGGAGACAATACAGGAAGAGAACTCACCATGGGTCGTGAGGCCCTCGGTGAAATGAACGAAAATGGTGAACTCTTCTCAGACTTCTGCGCCTTCAATGATTTGGTGATTGGTGGCAGTGTGTTCAAACACAGGGATATACACAAGGCAACATGGATTTCACCAGATGGACACACCAAAAACCAGATAGACTTCATTTCAATCTCAAGGAAGTGGAGACGGAGCCTACTGGACACAAGATCGAGGAGAGGAGCAGATGTGGGTTCAGACCACTATCTGGTACAAGGGACTTTCAAGGTGAAGCTGAAAGCCTCGAGGATACCTGGGGATAGGCCACAATGCAAGTTCAACACTCACAAACTGAAGGACACAATCACACAGGACATTTTCACTGCAACTGTCAGAGCAAAGCAGGAAACACTACGTAGCCCCACTGAGGAATCATCCGTGGAAGACCATTGGAACTCTCTGAAGGTAATTTTCAATGAAACGTGCTCAACGGTTTTAGGAAGAAAGAAGAAACAAGACAAGGAATGGCTCTCAACAGACACTTGGAAACTAATAGAGGAGAGGAGAAAGGTGAAAGAAAAAATGATTCAATGCAAAGATGGACAAGAGAAAGAGACGCTGAACTCAACTTACACAGCACTGGACAAAGAAGTGAAGAAGAGTGCCAGGAAGGACAAAAGACAATTCTACGACAACCTGGCTACTGAAGCTGAGAAGGCAGCAGGCAAAAGGGACCTGAGGACACTGTATCAGATAACCAAGTCTCTATCCGGGAAGAGATCAACACAAGTGAAACCTATAAAAGACAGCCAAGGGAACCCAATTACCAAAGAAGAAAGACAGATTAAACAATGGGCGGACCACTTCAAAGGACTCTTGAACCGACCACCACCTACAACCCGTCCAGTAATACCAACAACAGCACGTACACAACTGCAAGTTGACACCAATCCTCCAACGAAAACTGAAGTCATGAATGGAATCAAGCTTCTGAAAGCTGGAAAAGCAGCTGGACCAGATGGAATACCCCCGGAAGCACTAAAAGCGGACCCAAAAACGACGGCAGATATGCTGACTCCATTATTGCAAAAGATCTGGAAAGAGGGAAAGGTGCCTACTGACTGGAGGAAAGGTTACCTGGTGAAACTACCAAAGAAGGGCGACCTGGGACTCTGCAAGAACTGGCGAGGAATCATGCTCCTGTCGACGCCAAGTAAAATCCTGAGTCGCATCATCCTGGAGAGAATCAAGGACGCGCTGGATACAGAACTCCGACCAGAACAAGCTGGATTCAGGAAAGGCAAATCATGTTCTGACCAAATTGCAACTCTACGCATTATCATCGAACAAAGCATGGAATGGCAATCAAATCTCTACCTCAACTTCATAGACTTTGAGAAGGCCTTCGACAGCGTTGACAGCGAAGTTATTTGGAAACTACTCGAGTACTACGGCGTACCGCAAATATTCATCAACCTTATTCAACAGCTGTACGACAACGGCACATGTCAAGTGATCCACAACGGAAAACTCAGTGAGGCGTTTCGAGTAAACACAGGAGTCAGACAAGGGTGCTTATTATCACCAATGATATTCCTAATTGTGGTGGACTGGATTATGCGTCAGACAGTGGGAAACGAGAAGACAGGGATATCCTGGACCGACATGAAGAACCTAGAAGACCTGGATTTCGCGCGTGGAAGATTTGTGTTTGATGGCACATAAAATCGAAGACTTACAAGCAAAAACCGACAAACTGGTCGAAGAAGCAGCAAAGACAGGACTCCAGGTGAACATAGACAAGACGGAGGTTATGAAAATAACCAACCAACAACAACAACAACAGCAGCAACATCCAGTGCCAATCACCATCAACGGGAGGGATTTGAAAGAGGTTACTTCTTTCACTTATCTAGGGAGCATTGTCTCAACCACAGGAGGAACGCACGAGGATGTCAAATCGAGAATCGGGAAGGCGAGAAACACATTCATCAACCTGAAACCAATCTGGAAATCTTCGTCACTCAACTCACCATCAACAACAAAATTCGGATTTTCAACACAAACGTCAAGTCAATTTTGCTTTACGGATCAGAAACTTGGCGGGTCACCAAGAATATTTTCAACAGGTTGCAGACCTTTATCAACAACTGTCTTCGCTCCATACTGAAGATTAGATGGCCAGAAAGAATCACAAAGAAGAAGCTATGGGAACAAACGAAACAGGAACCAATCGCCCAACAAATATGCAGGAGGAAGTGGAGATGGATTGGACACTCGCTGAGGAGGCCGCTGTGTGACATCGCGCGCCAGGCCCTCGAGTGGAACCCGAAAGGGAAGCGGCGAGTGGGACGTCCAAGGGTGACATGGAGGAGATCGTGTGAGGAGGAGATGAAACAGTATGGAATAACATGGACGCAAGTGAAAAGAACAGCACAAGACAGAAGCAAGTGGAGACGTGCAGTTGAAGCCCTATGTTCCACTAGGAACCCAAGGGAACAATAATAATAATAATATACATAGAAATGATCTAGCCACGGCAATACCGATTCCTGCGCAACAACATATGCGGAGCATAGCTCAAAGTGCCAATGTGAATGCAACTGTCTAGCACATACACACACATACATGAAAAGTTGAAACCGAACAATTAATTACCCAGAATGTGCAGCAGCATCATTAGTCACTCCATTACGTCCACTGGGATTACAGGCAACTGTCTGCATTGTACTGATTGATGATTTCATCTGTGGAATACGCTCACCAGAATCGGATCCAATATCAGAATGTCCATCGTTTGAATGTAAACCAATTTGTGTTGCCAGATCTACACGACTTTGACGTTGTGTACGTTTCTTTGATATGTAGGCTCGACGATCACGTAACCATGACAACCAAAGCTATTAACAAAAATATGAATATATATATATATATATATATTTATATGACTATTTCCAAAGTGAATGCCTTTCTGTCAGACATATCAGCCAGTAATGGTCTTACGTTAAATCCCTGCAAATGTCAGACACGAACTTGTTCGTTCGCATAATGCCTGACACATAAAGGGCACTGAAAAAGAAACTGGGTCAAACATAAAATACCTCAGAATAGTCCTTTCCTCTGACCCATATTGGTCATTCCATATATTCCATTATGGATAAGATTTTATTTTGATAAATCACACAGTGTTACACAGTAATATTAACTGATGACCACGTTTCGAGCACAAACTATTGCTCATAATCATTTCAATTTACTCATACAACTTCTTTCCTTCATTTATATACATGTGTGGAATTGACTAGATATTGGAATACAATTCAACATGGGATAATGTACATTCAGAAATAATAATACGAGTGTTATTGATCAATTACAATCAGATGGGAAATAAGACGAGTGTTTTCTCTATAGCGACAACAAGTAACTTGTTAGAATGTTGTGATGTGCTTGAATTGAAATAGAATTTTCAGATTTTTTATTATCCTCCTCTACTTTGACTGACTGGTGGTAATAATATCTTCCATATCTCTGGTATTTGCATTGAGTCATTTCTGTTGTATGTGTTGGGTGAAGATTCACTCGATGAACCAGGATTCAATAATCAACCTCTCTCTCTCCACCTACCTATATTACTTTTTAGAATTTTAACCCTCTCCGACCCTATGGTGCGGCTTTGTGTTAATGCATGAAGTGCAATTGCTGACCTTTTTTCTAAATTACATATCTTCTCGGGGTCAACCATTCTTACCTTGGCTAAATTCTTATGTTCCGACAATCTGATTACCCCCACCACCACCACCAGTCAAATCAGAAGAGGATAATAAATAATCTCAAAATTCTATTTCAATTCAAACACATCACAACATTCTAACAAGTTACTTATTATTTTGACTATAGAAACACTCGTCCTTTTTCCCATCTGATTGTAATTGATCAATAACACTCATATTATTATTTCTGAATGTACATTAACCCATATTGAATTTTATTCCAATATCTAATCGATTCCACACATGTATATAAATGAAAGAAAAAAAGTTATGTGAGTAACTTGATATGATTATGAGCAGTAATAAATTGTGCTCGAAACGTCATCAGTAAATATTACTGTGTAACACTGTGTGATTTATCAAAATAAAATCTTATCCATAATGGAGTTACACTCTACCACCACAGTGCCCAAGTTTTATACTTATATCAACATTCCATATATTGTCTACTTCTAAAAAAAGATGTTCCCAACAACCTTCTACTGTAAAAAGTTAACTCTTCCATCGTACCTATTGCGCTCTGGGCTGCTATCTGCCACAGTCTTTCCTGAGTTCCTCAAAAATGACTGTGTCATATTGCGAAGAAGGGTATTTAAGGTTGTCGGAAGGGCAAGTGAGGTATGTCACGAAGTCGGCTCATAACTATTGTAGTTGAAGAATATCGGGAGTCGTGCGAGAAATAGGCTAAATCTATAATGTCTGACTGTCACCACCCTCTTCAATTACAACTCTCCCCTCACCGCATCTCATTACGTGGGACTAGAAGTCATTATTAAAAAACATTATATGCTCACTCGCACAAATAAGTACAAAAAAGGTTACAGGATTTCATAATGAGCTGAGAATCGGCTAGAGAATCATTGGAGAAAAACCAGCTGGAAGTACTGGACAGCTGTTACGTCCTAGTGCTTGGGACTCAACGACACCCTGTTTGACCCGCCCGCGTACTCTGTGATAGAGAGAAAATGTTAAGCGCGAGACTATGTAACAATGTAATTAGCAAAATGCATGGCTCTTTGATCTTCTATTTGTAATTTATGGTGACACTTTAATTGAATTTTAGATTTTCCCGTCCATTGATTGACTGGACCGAATTGCTCGGTCTCAGGTTAACATGCCGGCTTCTTGTGCAGATGCTTCGACGATGTCTGGGCATTTTAATTAGAATTTAATTTGTGGATGGTGACTAGCAGTGGAATCCAGGATGCGCATTTCGTCATATTTGGGACTCGTCATCTGGATGTACCTGCATTCTCCACCAGTGAGTGGTGATGTTTCCACCGAAGCTCAAACCCAGTGCCCATAGTTTCAAAGCCGAAATGTCAACCTGAGACCGAGCACTTCGGTCCAATCAGTCTGAAATTCAATTAAACAATTAATATGACCCGTTGCACAAGAGGTGGCACAAGTGGTCTAGTGGATAACGCTTTGGCGTTTGAAACTATGGGCACTGGGTTTGAGCCTCTGTGGGAACATTATCACTGAATCACTTGGAAATGCAGGCACACCCAGATGACGAGTCCCAAATAGGACGAAATGCGCATCCTGGTGGATTCCACTGCTAGTCACCATCCACCAATTATGGTGACACTGTTACAATTACCTTATTATTTTAGGTATTATTATTATTATCATAATCATCTTATTCTTTTTGTACATTTTGACTTTACTGTTACTGTTAATGCCAATTTCGTCCACCTACACCATCTAATGATTTTTTTTTGAGTAAATTAGATGCAGTACTGTACCAAATGCTGGGAATTCCATGCAGTCATGGAATAAGAAAAATCATTATTATTGTTATTATAACATAACACTAACAAGTGAGTATTTCAAACACGTTTAAACTTACAATAAAATCTTCGCCTTCGCTGAATTCCAAATCCTCGGCGATTCTAATTCTCTGTAAGAGAAAACAAAACAAAAGCCAGAAATTCATAGTTAAAGGGAAATGGTAACAATTCAGTAACGATTAAGTATGGTTATGCAATTCTTAATAATTTGGATTAGCATGAACACACCATTAATGGACATTTAACTTATGGAAAAATTGAGTCCAAAAACAAAATAAAAGAAGTCGTGACTAGTGGAGTCCATCCAATGGGAAGCGAAGACAAATTTTCGTTGGTGATGTCGGTTGGTGTTCGAGTTAGAATCACGAATTGGTAGAAATTAGAATTCATTGACTAGCCATTGGATCGAGTCCCAGTGGTTGAATGATTAATGAGCTTGACTAGTAACCGCAAGGTCCTGGGTTCAAATCTTAGTCGTTGGGTGAGTAATACCGATGATTCCTAAACTGAGACAAAACAGCTCTTCATTACTCCTGGATTATCCAGTTGTTTTATAACTGATACTGTGGTGAGAGCTGTCTGCAAACCAAAATTGCAGACAACAATTTACGTCAATGTTTACGTCCCGAATCAGGGTCATGAGAACAGAACAATAACAAAGCCTAACCTTGAGGAACTCGATAGCCAATCACAGCACACTTAGAATGTGTAAATATGATTCGCAGATATACAGCCTGAATTTCTAAGAAACGGTCACAAGCAGTACAGAATAACCTTCAGCAAGAAAACAACCAATCAGAAGACGTTGCTTCCCTGCTAAAAATAACGCTAATAATAATGTACATAAAAATCTACAAAACGTCTTGATTTTCTCAATAAACGATCGGTTGCCTGGCACTTGTATTCTGTCGTTACAATACCAGTTCATGGTCAAAAGTGGAACAAATCAAATCCCCATAAACTAACTATCGAGCGTGAAATCAGTTTGGAAACAAATGGTTTCAACAAGAAACGTGTTTTGTTGTATAAGGTTGAGCTAAGAAAAACTAAGTGTGACAATATTTAAAATCTCGTACATCAGAGTGTAAAATGGTGCATATCTATGCCGAAACAAAGTACCCATAAAAGAAGTCTTCAACAATTCCAGTACGTGTACTAATAAATTTTCAAAATATTCATGTAATATAAGAATAAAACTTGTGCACTGTGGTAGAGTGTAATTCCACTATGGGTAAATTTTGTTTTGATAAAGTCTCACAGTGTTATATAGTAATGTTTACTGATGACGTTGGGCACAATTTATTGCTCATAATCATATCACCTTGATATGATTGTTGCTCGCCTTGTAACCAGATGATCCCAGGTTCGAACACTGTTAGTGGGTGCGTACTGATGAGACGTTCCAAACTAGGACGAAACAGCTGTCCAGGACTCCCAGCTGGTTTTCCAATGATTCTCTAACTGATGTCAGCTTATGATAAAATCCTGTTACTACAATTTGTTGAAGCAGTTGCAACCTTTCCGATCAACCTTATGCATACAGAAGGAGAGTATTAGTCGACCTCTCATTCCTTTGCTAACTGCATTTCGATTACCTTGATCAGTTATCCATATTAACGATTTCAGCTCACCGAGGAAACTTCATTCTTATGAACTATAACCTCTTCTTGAGTTGTTACGTGAACTTATAAACTAACACGTTTTTTTAAAATTAAATTTTTCTATTTTCTGTCTTGTCCTCCTCTCTTCTTTTCTATTTTGAAAGCATTATAACATTTTCTATCTGTCAGTCAAGTTTGCAATAGAATTCAGCCTGCATGACACCAGTTACTTACTGAGCAGTGTCCAATCAAAGTATCTAATACAGTACCACAGGAGGTCAACCGCGGACCCGAATAGCTCAGTGGTAATTTCTCTGACTGCACCACTGGGTGACACAGATTCGAATCTCGAAATGGCAAACATGAGGTCCTTGAATAGGTCAGATACGACTTGCTGACTGGCTCGAAACCTAGGTCACGTAGGGCTTCCTACCGATCACCTCCAACTATCTAATAAGAAAATTTCCCAGAGTGTACACCATGATCAAACCTCTACCTCAACTTCATAGACTTTGGGAAGGCCTTCGACAGCGTTGACCATGAAGTAATTTGGAAACTACTCAAGTACTACGGCGTACCCCAAATATTCATCAACCTTATTCAACAGCTGTACGACAACCGCACATGTCAAATGATCCACAACGGAAAACTCAGAGAGGCGTTTGGAGTAAACACAGGAGTCAGACAAGGGTGCTTATTATCACCAATGATATTCCTAATTGTGGTGGACTGGATTATGTGTCAGACAGTGGGAAACGAGAAGACAGGGATATCCTGGACCGACGTGAAGAACAATAGAAGACCTGGATTTCACGCGTGGATGATTTATGTTTGATGTCACACAAAATCGAAGACTTACAAGCGAAAACCGACAAACTGGTCGAAGAAGCAAGCAGTGAAAACAGGACTTCAGGTGAACATAGACAAGACGGAGGTTATGAAAATAAACAACAAACAACAACAACAACAGAAGAAACATCCAGCGCCAATCACCATCAATGGGAGGGATTTGAAAGAGGTTAGTTCATTCACTTATCTAGGGAGCATTGTCTCTACTACAGGAGGAACGGACAACGATGTCAAATCGAGAATCGGGAAGGCGAGAAACACATTCATCAACCTGAAACCAATCTGGAAATCTTCGTCAATCAACTCACCATCAACAACAAAATTCCGATTTTCAATACAAACGACGTCAAGTCACTTCTTCTATACGGATGGATCAGAAACTTGGCCAGTGTGTCACAAAGAATATTTCCAACAGCCTGTTGCACACCTTTATCAACAACTAACTGTCTTCGCTCTATACTGAAGATCAGATGGCCGGAAAGAACAAGAACCAACAAGAAGCTATGGGAAGAAACAAAACAAGAACCAGTCGCTCAACAAATATGCAGGAGAAAGTGGAGATGGATTGGACACTCGCTAGCTGAGGAGGCCGCTGGGTGACATCGCGCGTCAGGCCATAGCTCGAGTGGAACCCGAAAGGGAAGCGGTGAGTGGGACGTCAATGCTAGGTTGACATGGAGGAGATCGTGTGAAGAGGAGTTGAAACAGTATGGACTAAGATGGATGCAAGTGAAAAGTACAGCAGAAGACAGAAGCAAGTGGAGGCGTGCAGTTGAAGCCCTATGTTCCACTAGGAACCCAAGGGAACAATAATAATACACCATGATGGTGAACCACCTAGTTTGGTAGCCATATTGTAAACTTGACTGATAGAATTTAGTCTGCCACCAAATGAAGTGTTAGGCGCATGAGACCAGTTACCACCACTATCTAGTGTCCAATAAAATTGTTGATAATCAGTTAGTAAGCACTTCAATTATATACACACACATTAACTTACATTACGCAGTTTAGCTTCAGTAAATTTAAAATTACTCATATTTGTATTGACCGTCATTTGTGACTGGACAGCCGAAGGTAATGATTGTGAGATTAATAATTCAGCAGCACGTTTATGTCGACCAGTTAATTCATTTGTCACTGTACTAAATGAATTTGTATATACACTATACATCCTGTCAAGTAGATAAGAATAAGTGAATTTTGATTTTGTATCGAATTGACCGCGTTTACACGGATTCTGATCGATTGTCTCATCTTAAATAATGTTATTATTATTAATGGTATTATTTTTGTTACCTTCAGATTTGATTACAGGATTAAGTTGTGCTTGTAGTTTGTCGATAATTCGACGACATGAATCCATTTCTTGACTTACATCCGTTGACTTTGATAATCCCAAATTGGAGATAATTTGCTTATCATAATAATCAATAGAAAGGCAGAAAGAATAGAGGCAAATCATTTGAATATGTGTACAGCACAATTATCAATCAATATGCTATAACTGGTGTAACACACACAGAAAAATTAAAACACATCCTAAACAGCACTGGACGGATTACACTACACACAATGCACACTTGATTTACTACTCATTAGACTGTGATGGACACTTCTTTCTTGAAAGCAGAAACACTGTCTGTCTATCTATTTTCAACATGGAACTCTGCACCGATATGCAGCAGTTCAAATCGCCACACTCCCTCCATGTACCACACAAAGCAAGAGAAGAAAATGGAAGAAATGCATAATAGAGACAGTAGACAGGGATATGAGACAAAAAGAATAGTAATATCGGGGAGCAATTCAGTTTCATTGGATATTATAAGTCACAAGGAGTGGATGCATCTGCGCCAGTCATTGAGAACGATTTTGAGCTATATCACCGATTGTCTCCAGCCTTCATTGGTGTTTACCGTCCCGAGGACCCCAACCAGTCAGGAAGTCTACACCTTCCTACGTGACTGACTGGCTTAAACTAACTGTTGTGGATTTCATTGACTTATGAGACCATTCAGTCATATAAAAGAAAAGAAAGCGTTCAGCGAAGAGACTCCTTTCGGCGAATTCATTCACTGAGCTGTACAATCGCATTTATATACAATTTTGTTTGTGTGTGTGTGTGTACATCAGATCTATAAAGTTTAGATAATTACGTAATATAAGTATTATTTGGCTTGTTTCCAAACCGCTGTTGGCCTCATCTATGTGCATCTACCAATTCACCTGCTCGTGTGGAGCCAGGTATATCGGCCGTACTCAGAGTTCGCTATCCAAACGCGTCAACGAACATTTACCTTCATGGTTTTATAAAGGAGAAAACCTATGCCCCCGCAACATTTGATCGATTCTGGACACCAAGTTAAACCAGAAATAAACTTCAAAGTTATCTACAGAATACAAGGCAATCTTGCTAAAAGTGTACGGATCAAACTTCTCCACATGGCGGAAGCAATGGCAATTCATCTGCTAAATCCTGAACTCTGCATACAAAAGAAATTCGTTCATTCATTAAATCTACAATGGACGTAATCTTTCTTGATTTCAGTCTTACCAACTGTATTATTTTGTCTTGTGCATTTTATTATTTCACATCTTCATTTATATTATTCTCTACCCCACCCTTTTGCAATCTCTACCCTCATTAACAATGTCGCTAACTCGACCCACTTCCAATTTCCAGCCAACTATATTACGTCATCCGATCAACTTACTTAGTTTTCAAATGTATTATTCTCTAACCCCACCCTTACTTGATTTTAACCACCACTCATTAACACTGTTGCCAACCTGACCTACTCTGAATTCTACTCAATTGTATTACGTCATCCAATTCACTTAATCAATTCTATTTTATTTTCTATCATAACGTTTGTTTCCAAGCCAAATAATACTTATATTACATAATCATCTAAACTTTATAGATCTAATGTACACACACACACAAACAAAATTGTATATAAATGCGATTGTACAGCTCAGTAAAATGAATTCGCCGAAAAGAGTCTCTTCGCTGAACGCCTTCTTTTCTTTTATATGATGAGACCAGGTTTTGGTTTGACCACCGCTGACCAGCCTGACCCCATCTCAGCTAACATTGACCGTCGAGGAAGGTGATAACTAGGCATGCACAAGTAACACATTTCCTAACCATCTCAGTCGGTGTAGTTTCACAGCCTCGTCGATTGATTTCCCCTCCTTACCTAGCACTAAACCGAAACATAACCTCCTTTTGATTGCACACTAGTCAGTAACTAGTGTAATGCGTCTAGTCCTATCTTCGGTGCAGACTGAATTCTATGTCATGTTTGCAATGTGGCCACCATGCTAGGTGGCTCGCCATTACGGTGCACTGTGAATTGTTGGTATTAGATGGTTGGAGGCAATCGGAAGGAAGCCTTGGACCTAGGTTTCGTGCTAGTTGGCACTCATCAGCAAGGCGTATCTGCAACCTTAAAGGAACCCTTGTCCCTTCTGAGATTCGAACCCGCGTCACCCAGTGCTGCAGTCAGAGACGTTACCACTGAGCTATTCAGGCTCGCGACTGACCTCCTGTAGGACTGTATTGGATACTTTTGATTGCACACTAGTCAGTAACTAGTGTAATGCGTCTAGTCCTATCTTCGGTGCAGATGAGTGCCAACTAGCACGAAACCTAGGTCCAAGGAAACATAACCTCATTATTGCTCACCCTGTTATACCACTTCACACGGGAGATAGAACGCAGGCACCTATGATCAAAGACAGCTAGCCAGGTTTTTATGTCTTTCACTCTCAATAGCCAGGTCTCACAGTCATAAAGGAGGACGTAGCGGAATGATGAGCAGTATACACGCCCTTTGATCGATAGCCAGCCGGATATCACGTCTACGCCAGAAACGGAAGACAAGCAGTTCAGCAAAGAGGTGCTTTTCGGCGAATTCATTTTACGCTTTAGGTGTACAATCGCATGTATATGTCACAAACATAGTTGTGAATACTGTTCAATGCATAGAAAGAAGTTGAATAAGTGTATTGGAGTTATGTAGCAAAATGAATAATTTAATGATGAATGAGTTGTAATCAGGATGCACACAGAAACGAAAGAAAATATGTAATTAGGTAAGAGTTCTAAAGAAATAAAAGAGTTAGAAGGAGTTAGAGAAACAAATAAACAGACAAAAATGAAGCCAACGAGGTTCTTGTTATGATAGTAGGACTGGTTGAATAATTCCCTCTTATATGCATAGCCCCGGTTTCTCTATCTGAATGGCTAGAGCTTCAGCAATGTTGGGAGGAGACGAAAGCGTATTGCTTTTGGCAGATTGTTCTTCGCTTTATAGATTACTTTGAAGGAAGAGGTGTTTGTTGAGATGAAGTTATGAGTGTTGACAAGGTGTGTTCGATTATCGCACTCCTTATAGAGCCACTACTACCTTTCTGCAACCAATCGCGTTAGAGTTCTTGGACCTTTTATACACCGAACGACCAATGTACCTGGCTCCACAGCAACAGGTGTAAACTGATATGTGCACACAAAATTGGTCAGATGCGAGATCGTGTCCTTTGGGCTTCTTCAGAATAGTGGGAGACTAGAGAACACTAATTGACATTGGGGCAACTAGATATATACTCGCTTCAATCAATAATCTAAAGTCTAGTTAACCGCTAGCAACAAAATGAGGCTATTATCATGGGGGAGGAGGTGGTAAAAGCCTACATACAGTTATTATTTATCATATAATTATTATTCCCTTGGGTTCCGAATACAATATATCGCTTAAGGAGCACATCTTTTTAATTCTTTCCCTTCAGTCTTCTGTTTAGCTAGCTCCATAATTGCTCGTAATCTCTCATCTCCTCTTCCCCAAACGAAATTCTCCATGTTACCCTCGCACCGACGACTCACTGATCGCTTTCCATTCACCTTCCACTCGAGTAATGGCCTGCATTGCCGGATGTCATTCGACGGTTTCCTCAGCGTGTGTCTGATCTGTCTCCATTTTCTCCAATATATTTGCTGACCAATCGGCCCTCGCCTGTTGTTTTGTTGCCAACCAGCAGAGTTTCTTGTCGCTAATTCTTTCTGGCTGCCTGGATGGCCATTTGATATTCACTATGGGGCCAGCGAAGGTGGCGGTTGTTGATAAAAGTCTGCAGTGGCCTGTTGGAAGTACTTTTCGTGACACGCAGTGCAAGTTTCTGACGCATATAGAAGAACTGACTGACTGACTTCCCGTTTGTGTTGAAAATACGAATATTGTTCTTAATACTGGCTGAGTGCATTGCAGATGATGAAGGCGTATCTTACCTTTCCGATTCTGACATTGACATCTTCATCCGTCCCGCCTGTTGTTGAAACCTAGATAAGTGAAAGAAGTAGCCTATGTCAAATCTTTCCCGTTAATGGTAATCAGTGCTGATTGTTGTTGTTGTTGGTGGTGGTTGGTTATCTTCATCACTTCCATCTTTTCTATGTTCGCCTGGAGTCCTGTCTTCGCTGCCTGTTTCTTCAGCCAGTTTGTTGGTTTTCGCCTGCAAGTATGAAACAACTAACTATCTGTCATATATGTACGCAATTTCTCAGTGAAATCAATTTGTAGAATGTTATGCCTCATTAGTAAGTACTTCAAACGTCTTTGGCAATATCATCCTTGATGAATCGTGAGAAAGAATACCTGATTATATCAGCATAATTTACCTAGTAAACAATTAAAAAAAGTAATTCGGTGAGTGGTGCATTTCGCCTTATTTGGGACTCGTCATCTGATGTACCTGCATCCTCCACTGAGTGAATGAATGAGTGATGGCGCTCCCACTGAGGCTCTAACCCATTACCCATCGTTTCAAATGTAACAAATGTCACCCAGCTAGTTGAGCAGATCCTAATATGAATATATACGCATCCTTGAATTCCACTGCCAATCACCCTTACTTCAGGTTGAATCCTCAGACATCATCGAAGTATCCGCATAAGGAGCCGACAATGTTAACATAGGTTGAACTTGTTTCGGTCTAGTGCAATCAATCAACGGGAAAATCAGAATTGAATTTTTAAAAAATTTTTTCTAAAGGTTGAAGCAGTATTTTCAAAACTATAAATGTGTGTCATGTAAAAATAATGGTATGCCCTCCGCTTCCCCGACCCCCCCCCCCCCAGCGCCATCATGAAGATTTGCTAATCAAGCTGATAACCACTAGTAAGTCGACTTATGCTCACTAGTGAATAGCTCTATTCAGTTGGAATCCGTGACCAGTAGGGTACAGCAGGTTGAAGGTGAGGTCAGTCACTCATCAGACATTATACTAAGTGGTCACGCTATGTCGTGAATTGGCAGAAGTTAGAACTCATGGACTGGTCATTGGATCGGGTCCCAGTGGCTTAAATGGTCTAAGAGCTCGCTAGCCTTGTAACCAGAAGGTCTTGGGTTCAAACTCCTGTTGGTGGGTGCGTACTGCTGAGGTGTCCCAAACCAGTAGGAAACAGTCATCCAGTACTCCCAGCTGGTTTCCCAATGTCAGCTCATGAAGAAATCTTCCAACCAATCAAACAAAATCCCTACAACAACCAATACTTGAAAAACAAATTACCTTTACAATAGGTGAATCTTCTTGTTTTAATAATTTCTCGACTTTTTCAAGTTCAGCCAACCGACATTGAGCTGATTCCAACTTCAAAAGCAAAAAGAAGATCAAGAAATATACATATGTATGTGTATATAAATATACTTTATAAATACAAATTATGTTACCATAGTTTCTATGGATTTGAATTAACCGAGTGTTGATTCAACAAGATTCGCGAACACCTAACAGTTTTGGTTAAATAAAGGTGTTGTTAAAACCTTCAACCGTTCAATATTAATTAGATCACCTCTTAAAAACAGTCTACAAAGCTAGCCAGAATTGAAGAATCCTTCTCTATTGTGCATCGGGTAACGAATAAATCACCAAAGGCATCTAGAGACACCAGACACTCTAAACAGCAGAGGTCACTGGAATTCGCTTTAATCAACTGGAGCCCTCAGTGAAAAGGAAACAGGTCCAGCCAACCACTATTGCTATCCTGGCCTGGTGTTGAGCCTTGCTTCAATTTATCAGACATTCAGTCAATATAGTGTTATATTAGTGGTATGAGATTGGTATCCAATGACTTATTTTAATTCATCAGTAGTATGTAGAGTCATGCAGGAATGTTATTAAAACACATATGTATTCACAAATCTTCCATACATTAACTACTCTAATAGCTTAATTCTCAATAAAAGACGTGATTTGTTTTGATTGGACATTAGTAACTAGTGTGACGTGTCTGGCTAGTCATTTCTTTGGTGCAGACTGAATTCTATCAGTCAGTCAGGTTTGCAATGTGGCCGCCATTCTAGGTGGCTGGCTCGACATCACGGTCCACATTGATTTGATTATATTAGGTGGTTGGAGGCAATCGGCCACAGCCACAGTGCCAACTAGCACGAAACCTACGTCAAGCAAGGCTTCCTCTGGCCGATTGCCTCCAATCTCCTGATCTCATCAGACTTGGTATGTTTTAAAGAAGAAAAAACACAGTGTGTAGTGTGTTTAGCACAGAGCTATTGAGAAATTCAATTCATATAAGAATAAACCAGAAGAGTATGACGAAATGTTGCCACATCAAATTCTTAAGAGTTATTTTGTAACATCAGTTAGAGAACCATTGGAAAACCAGCTGGGAGTACTGGACAATTGTTTCATCCTAGGGCTTGGAACTCATCGTCAGTATGCGCCCGCCAGCGTTCGAATCCAGGACATTACAGTTACAAGAAAAGCTCGTAGAGCATTCAATTACTGGAACCTGGTCATTAACGGCCAGTCGATGAATTCGAACTTCTACCAATTCGTGAATTTAGCGCGATCATCAGCCAATGTCATCAACGAGTGAGTATATGTCCTCACCCCTGACGAGCTTGCCTTGCAACCGGAAGCTTCTGGGTGGGTGCTTCAGGTGAATCCCAAACTAGGAGAAAACAACTGTCCAAAACACCCTGGTTTTCAGTGTTTCTCTAATCGATATTAATTCGTGTTTACTAATTTAGGAAAGATCCAATATCCCCTGTGAGTAAAGATTACGCAATAGACTTCCATGTGAATTTCGGAGTTGTCCGATACTACTAATGGTTAGATGTAATTTTGTTTAAATCACCACATTCTTCCTTCTCAGTTGAGAAACAAAAACGAAAAAAGAATGGTTAATGAAATTCACGATTTTATCACAAAATGAAGCAGAAATTTACAATTTCTCACCTGTTGTTTCTGTCGTTTTCTATGTGTACTCAATAGGCGTTCAGCTTGAGCACGTTTCCGATCAGCTAGCGCTTTTAATTCTTCATCAGATGGCTGAAATAACACAGGAGTTTTGATAAAAAAAACCCACATGTACACATTATGTAGGTGTGCAAGTCAAGAATACACAGAATTCTCACATTATATAGTCTATGCGATTAACTAGTTGCAATTCTGACCAAATTGCAACTCTACGCATCATCATCGAACAAAGCATGGAATGGCAATCAAACATCTACCTCAACTTTATACACTTTGAGAAGGCCTTCGACAGCGCAGCGTTGACCGCGAAGTAATTTGGAAACTACTCGAGTACTACGGTGTACCCCAAATATTCATCAACCTTATTCAACACCTGTACGACAACCGCACATGTCAAGTGATCCACAACGGAAAACTCAGCGAGACGTTTAGAGTAAACACAGGAGTCAGACAAGGGTGCTTATTATCACCAATGATATTCCCAATTGTGGTGGACTGGATTATGCGTCAGACAGTGGGAAACGAGAAGACAGGGATATCCTGGACCGACGTGAAGAATCAAGAAGACCTGGATTTCGCGCGTGGATGATTGATGTTTGATGTCACACAAGCGAAAACCGACAAACTGGTAGAAGAAGCAGAAAAGACAGGACTGACTCCAGGTGAACATAGACAAGACGGAGGTTATGAAAATAACCAACCAACCAACAACAACAACAACAACAACAACAGCAACATCCAGCGCCAATCACCATCAACAGGAGGGATTTGAAAGAGGTTACTTCATTCACTTTTCTAGGGAGCATTCATTGTCTCAACTACAGGAGGAACGGACGAAGATGTCAAATCGAGAATCGGGAAGGCGAGAAACACATTCATCAACATGAAACCAATCTGGAAATCTTCATCACTCAACTCACCATCAACAACAAAATTCGGATTTTCAATACAAACGTCAAGTCAGTCAGTTCTTCTATACGGATCAGAAACTTGGCCAGTGTGTCACAAAGAATATTTCCAACAGCCTGTTGCACACCTTTATCAACAACTAACTGTCTTTGCTCTATACTGAAGATCAGATGGCCGGAAAGAATCACCAACAAGAAATTATGGGAAGAAACAAAACAAGAACCAATCGCCCAACAAATATGCAGGAGAAAGTGGAGATGGATTGGACGCTCACTGAGCTGAGGATGCCGCTGGGTGACATCGCGCGTCAGGCCAGTGCTCGAGTGGAACCCGAAAGGGAAGCGGCGAGTGGGTCGTCAATGCTAGGGTGACATGGAGGAGATCGTGTGAAGAGAAGTTGAAACAGTATGGAATAACATGGATGCAGGTGAAAAGTAGAGCAGAAGACAGAAGCAAGTGGAGACGTGCAGTTGAAGCCTATGTTCCACTAGGAACCCAAGGGAACAATAATAATAACTAGTATAATAAGGTGTTATAGGGATTGAAGTGGTGGCTGAGCGTGTTGACCACTACTTCACTTGTTTGGGAAGTTGCATTAGCCAACGCCAGTGGGTTGATCGCTGACGAAATCTCAGCACGGATACAGAAGAAGGCCTGTTTGGCATACGCCAGCTTACGCTATCTCCGGCGCATACATGATATCTGGCTGGCTATCGACCAAAGGAAGTGTATACTTCTAGGCAGTTCTTTCCTCCTCCTCCTCCTTTATGACTGTGAGTGAAACATGCCTATTGAAAGTGGAAGAGATGAAAAGGCTAGTTGTCTTTGATCATAGGTGTCTGCGTTTTATCTCCCGTGTTAGGTGGTATAATAGGGTGGGTGATATTGAGGTTAAGCGTCGAGTGTTAGACGAGAAGGGTGATTCAATTGACAAGGTTGTGAAATGGCATCGATTGAGATGGTTAGGACATGTGTTACGCATACACCGAGCCATCGATTACCTCGACATAGGATCAGGTTGGAAGAGAGCTAGTAGTAGTCAAACCAAAACATGGCTTCATCAGTCAATGATATCCACAACAGTTAGTTTAAGCCAGCCAGCCAGCCACGTACGGAGGTGTAGACTACTGTCTGGCAAGTTGGGATCCTCGGGACAGCAAGAACCAATGAAGGCTGGAGACAATTGGTGGGTGATATGGCTCAATGCATAGCGCAGATGCATTCCCTTTTTTTTAATTTTTGATACCCAATACAACTCTGTTGTTCTTCCGTATTACTATTCTATCTGCCTCACTCACACTTGCGTTTATTATCTCTCTGTCTTTTGAATCTCCTTTTACCTTCTTCTCTTGCTTTGTGTGCTAACTGGAGAAAGAGATAGTGGTAATTCGATCAGCTGCACATCTGTGCAAAGTTCTATGTTGAAACCAGTCAGTCAATCAGTCAGGTGTGAACAGCTACTTGAAGTCCAGAAAACAATGAAGTAAAACAGTAACTGTATCTCATTCTCAGCAGAAATACTTTGCTAAATTTAACGACTACTAGTTCGAATTATTTTACAACTTGTTTCACTCTTAAGCTTTAAGGATAATTATTCCCTCAACTAATGATGTGGCCAAAAAAATTGTTCGGAAAATCCCTCCTCACCGATATAATCAGAATATTTATACTGATTTGGATATTTCTACTAACTTTGTCTTTTCGTCTAGACTGTATACCATTATCAGTTGTCACAGGAGATTTCAATACCTGCAATTGTTCTTTTCTTGAATCATTAGGTCATGTCAATATTGTTAAATTTCCAACTCGACTTGATAAAACACTGGATCTAGTATTTATTAATGATGCGGAAATATATGAAGCACGCAGACGTGCTCCTATAATGAACTCTGATCATTGTATTATTCGGATATTACCTAAGATATATAGCAGATCTCACTCTAATATCCTCTCAAATCTGTCCAGAAAAACACAACAAAGATGTTACTCACAAGAAAATGTGCTCAAACTAAGACGTATGTTAAATGACACAAACTGGGAACTTTTCACTGAACACACACTGGATGATACTATTTCCAATCTGACTGACTATCTTAAATTCTGCCTTGATGTATGCTGTCCAAAACAGATACTTTTCAAAAGAATGGACTCTTTCTCTTCCCCTCATCTCAAAAAGCTTCGAAGAGAAAAAGAGAGACTGTACAAGACCAAGGATAAATCTGGTCTTAGGAGGATAAACATCCAAATTAAATCCGAAATCAAGAGGCTAAACAATATTTATAATCAAAGAATTTTGTCATGTAAAACTCCAGGGAACATGTGGAAGCTTTTCAGAGAAATTACAGGTTGTGGTAAGCATAGTACTTGTGCCCCTTCTATTGATGTAAATACTCTTAATAGATCTTTTATCCGCCCTCCTAATGTACGTTTGAGCTTCAATGTAACAAATAACATGACCAGTGACTTTCTTAGTTTTAAAACTTCTGATGTTCATAGCCTTCAAAAAAAAGTTAACTGAAGTACAGTCAAGGTAGAACAAAAGTTAGAGAGACTGAAACGAAAAGTGGCTCTGAAAAGTGAAGTCTCTAACTTTTTGTTTGGACTATGGATAGAGGTGCAAACTACCCGGCTGAAATTCTGATTCCACGATATGACCAACAGGGAAACAATAACCGCCTACACAGCTCCATAAACACACAGGGCTAGAATTCTCAAGATATCAAGAACCAGGCCTTGAAAAGTTTCAATGACATTTTTGCCAGTCTTCCATAATGGTGTGGTGAGAGCTGTCTGCAAGCCAAAAATTGTAGACAACAATTTACGTCAATGTTTACGTCCCGAATTGGGGTCATGAGAAAAAAACAATAACAAAGCTTAACCTTGAGGAACTCAACAACCAATCACAGCAGACTTAACGTGTGCTAATACGATTCGCAGATATATATGGCCTGACTTTCTAAGAAACGACTACATAGAGATGACAAAATAACCTTCAGCAAGAAAACGACCAATCAAAAAACGTCGCTTCTCTACTAACAACGCTAATAATAATGTACATAAAAATCTATAAATATCTGTTGATTTTCTCAATAAACGATCTGTTGCCTGGCCCTTGTCTTCTGTCGTTACAATGGTACAAATAGTTTCGCATTTTAACATCAATAATTTGAAAATCTATTTAACCTTGTTTACTGTAGTGTTATCTTATATTTTTTTATCTTCGTTTTCATGTGATGTTCGATGTCTGGTAATTCCAAACATAGTGAAAGATTAACCGTCATTTTATCTGTATGTTAATCTTTATTCAGTGTGATGCCTCGGTTGTTTTTCTACTTGATATCTACGTGATAGCCTTCTAATTATTTACGACATACAATAACTACCACGAGTTATTTTTTATTTATTTTATTCCTTTAACACAGGGCTTCAAGCTTGTTTCGGCAGCAGTGGGTGGTGGGGGGTTGCTAGCCTCACACCCAACCTTCCCTTCCTAGCGGCCTTACTACCAACCTAGCGAGAATTACGCGTGCGTCGGACGAGGATTGATCTCCCGACCACGTGCGTGGTTGGACCACTGAACCACTGACTCACTAAGCCAGCTGCTCCTTGACCGGCAATCGAACCTAGGCCGGCCTTCCACATGACAGCCGGAGATACTCACCACTAGTTATTGAATTCCAATTATACTGTGATTGGACACTAGGTAGTATAACTAACTAGTTATGCGTCTAGTCCCTGGTGTTGGTGCAGACTGAATTCCAGAAGTTAATTTTGCAATGTGGCCGCCATGCTAGGTGACTGGCTTACTGTAACGACAGAAGACAAGAGTCAGGCTACAGATCGTTTATTGAGAAAATCAACAGATATTTATAGATTTTTATGTACATTATTATTAGCGTTATTGTTAGCAGAGAAACAGCGTCTTCTGATTGGTTGTTTCCTCGCTGAAAGTTATTCTGTCATCTCTTTGTTGCCATTTCTTTGAAGGTCAGACCATATATCTGCGATTCATATCCGCCCACGCAAAGTCTGCTGTGATTGGTTGTTGAGTTAGTCTTTGTTCTTGTTATTTTCTCATGACCAAGATTGGGGAAGTAAACATTGACGTAAATTGCTGTCTACCAATTTCGGCTAGCAGACAGCTCTCAGCACATTACTATCACGATGCATGATGGCTGTTGGCAATCGGCAGATAGCCTTCGAATTAGTTTTCGTGCTTTTCGGCATTCACCCGTCAGCAAGAAGTATCTGACATATTCAAGGACTTTATGTTCGTCCTTTTGATATTCGAACTCGTGTCACCCAGCGATGCAGTCAGAGACGTTACCACTGAGCTATTTGAGTTCATGATAGACCCTCTGTAGGACTTTAATTACATAATTTCATTGAACACTAGGCAGTAACTGGTGTCATCCATCTAGTCTGTCGTGTTGGGGTAGCGACTGAATTCTATCGTAAACTTGATAAGTTAATCGTGAGCCCAAATAGTTCAGTGGCTAGGTGTCTGATTGTATCATTGGATGACTCAGTATCGAATCTCAGGGTGGAGGAAGTAAGTTGTTTCACGATCACAGATACGCCTTGCTGACTGGTGACTGCCAACAAGCATGAAACTTAGGTGGAAAGCTTTGTGCTGATTGCCTCCGACCATCTAATTCCGATTATGCAAACAAGAAATTGTTTTTTTAAATACAGTTTACTCATCTACATAACGCAAATGTTTTTATTTATTCCTTTTACGTTCCCAGTGAAACACAGGACTTCAAGTTAGAGATTTGAAGTTTCGGTAGCAGTGGTATTTTTTATTTTTACAGAATGTGGCTGCTAGCCTCATGCCCAACTTTCCCTCTTTACCAGTGTTATTAGTGGGGCTTAGCGAGGTAAAGGAGTACGTCGGCCGGGGGTTTGAACCGCGAACCACCTGCGTGGTTGGTGAGCATTCTACCGCTGTGCCACCGACGCACTGCGTAAATGTACCCAAAATAATCTACACAATAAATCCACAAAAGTGAAAAAAGTTTGCTAACTAATACACTTTGAGAACATGAACTGAACTTATGCTATTTTACATATTTAAGAAATTTGCTTTCTGTGGAACTTAATATTTTTTTTAATCTACTATACAAACTATTGATTATCTCATCTTCAGGGTACGTACATATAATTCTTAGATAAAGAATTTCAAATAGCTTCCTTAAAGTCAGGTAAAGAACACGGGTGTTTATGAGAAGGTAACCAACTCACGTTTTCTCAGTTTGAGCTTCCTGTCTAGTTTTGCATTCCAGTATGACATCTAACCAACTGAAAAGTAGACTAAACGTATAGACATGAATCATGAAATTAAGGAGCTTTCGGTTACATATTTTTTTCCTTTACTAATGTGACATCGTTTCAACTATAGGCGACAGAACGGATGAAGATGTCCAAAAAGAGACCATGGTCGGAAAGACGTGATATCCGACTATCGACCAAAGGGCGTGTGTACTGCTCAACAGTCCGCTCCGTCCTCCTTTATGGCTGTGAGACCTGGTCATTGAGAGCGGAAGACATGAAAAGATTAGCTGTCTTCGATCATAGGTGCCTGCGTTCTATCTCCCGTGTGAAGTGGTGTGATAAGGTGACCAATATTGAGGCTAGGCGTCGAGTGTTAGGTAAGAAGGGGAAATCAATAGACGAAACTGTGAAATTACATCGACTGAGATGGTTAGGACATGTGCTACTTATACTTAGTCATCGCCTTCCTTGACAACAGGAAATGTTAGCTGATATAGGGTCAGGCTGGAAAAGAGCTAGCGGCGGTCAAACCAAAACATGGCTACACCAGTCAATAAAATCTACAACAGTTAGTCTAAGCCACGTAGGAAGGTGTATACTTCCTGACTGGTTGGGGTCCTCGGGACGGTAAAAACCAATGGTTGGAAACAATTGGTGACATGGCTCAAAATCGTTCTCAATGGCCGGTGCAGATGCATCCACTCCTTGTGACTTATGATTTCCAATGAAACTGTTTTGTTCTTCGTTATTACTATAAACCTTTGTCTCATACCTCTGTTTACTGTCTATACTATGCATTTCTCCTGCTTTCTTCTCTTGCTTTGTGTGTTACATGGGGGGAGTGTGGCGACTTGAACTGCCGCACATATGTGCAAAGTTCTATGTTGAAAACCGACCGACAGACCGATGGTCGGAAAGACAATACAGACCTTCATTACTCTGAAATCAGTGTGGAGATCTGCTCCACTCAAGATAAAGAACGAAATAATGATTTTCAACACCAATGTTAAGTCAGTGAGTGTTTCCGTATGAGTCAGAAATGTGGCGTGTCAAGAAAGGCGTTTCTTACAGTCAACTGCAGTCTTGTAAGAACAGTTACCTTGGCTGACGATCAAATGGCCCACCAGAAAGGATTAACAACAAGAAACTCTGACAACGAACTAATCAAGAATCGGTTGCTCAACAAATATCCCGAAGATAATGCAGATGGGTCGCAGACACACTGAGGAGACCATCAAATGACATCACTCACCAGGCCATCGCTCGAGTGAAGCCCGAATGGGAAACGACAAGTTGGGAATGGATCCAAGGGTGATATGTTGGAGATCGTATGAGGAAGAGATGAAAGCGTATGAGCAATCGTGGGGCCAGCTTAAGAGGACTGCAGAGAACAGGAAAAAGTGGTGACATTCTGTTGAAACCGTATGTTCCACTGGGAACCCAAGGGAATAATAATAATACATAATGGTACAACAATATCCAGTGAAAAGCTTTGCAAGCAAGTCATCAAAATGATTTGATTTTATTGCATATGATAAAATTATTATCAAAGTATTGGAATAAAGAAATTTTAACAAACATACCTTGTTAAATGGAAGTTGTACTTTTACTGTATGTAAGGAACGAAATTCTTTAGACTTCCACTGAATCATTTCTTGTCGATAATTGGATGCAAGATGACAGTAGGAATGGGCTAAATGCTAATCAATAAAAAACAAAATACGTGAATGGACGAAGAGATTCCCAAAAATAAATCAAGAAATTCGAAAGTAAATTAAATATTATTCTTTATACATCTATGACAAATATATACATAATAACTGGATAGTTACAGGAATTAAATTAAACGGTAATGTAAATACATTAATATGGAATTACCTACTAGAAACATTACCCAGTTTTTACTCATATAATAATGCCAATAGCCAATTGAAACAAAATGCAAGTGCAAAAAGTAACCTGATCCGTTCATTGAGCCACAGAATCCGCGGCATTTTCAGCCCTGACACTATGGAAGAAGAGATGAACACTCTGAAAAGAATCCTCCTTGAAAATGGCTACACTGAGTGTTTCATCAAAAAATCTATGAAGTCGAAACCTCGAAACTACCTTCACTTTTTTGTCCTAGAATACCTCTCTAGCTGAATCTAAACTTGAATGGAGACTGATTGGCAGAAATACTGAGAAACCACCTATCCTGCCCATCAAAGAAAACCTTCTTGGCAGCTGAACTTCGACTAACATTCTCCACAAAACCAATGATTTGCATGAATATGAAAGATGAGCTGCGACCGCTGTCCGGCCTCATCAATGTGCATCTATCAATTCACCTACTCGTATGAAGCTACGTATGTCGGCCGTAGCCAGCGATTGCTATCCAAAGGTGTCATCGAACACTTACCCTCATGGTTTGATGGAAGAGGAAGAAGATCGGCCCCTCACAGTTCTATCTTGGAACAGTTGATAGAATGTGGACACCAAACTGACCCACGAAGCAATCTTAAAGTTATCTGGATAATACGCATGAGTCTTTCTAAAAGAGTAGGTATCGGACTTCTTTAAAGTACTATGTCCCAAAGTCTGCATACAGCAGTTGTTCATTCACTTGATGTGTCTAAACAGCGGACCGGCAATTCTTGATTTTCGTGTTTTTAAAAGTTGATTTATGTGATTTAGGCAATGAACACAGATGAATGATAAAAGAAGTCGAAGAGAATAAGAACTGAAGTCGTAATAAAGAATGATTTTAGTAACTGTATGGGGGCACCATATTCTGCCTATGCCAGAATGAACCCAAAGATTTTGCCGTACCGTGATATATTGGAAACATAGAAAAAGATCGATATTGAACGCTTAACGACCTATGATTTCTTGTTATGTTTTAACAAAAGTCAGTTAAAAAGATTATATGTAAATAAAACACTTCTTTAATTGAGGGTCATAGTGTATAAACAGAAGACTCACAAATCCTCAAAATTAGAAAGTAGAGGGTTTTAATGAGTAATTTTTGAAAAGAATCATTTATTTTCATATTCAGCCTTCACTTGGAGAGCAACCTTTGAATTATTGTTGATTCCAAGTGAATTACGCGAAGCAGAACTTGAAAAATAATACTAAATTAAAATTATATGAAATTCTAACCCTTATGTATCGAAAAAAGTTAAACCAGTTACATACCTCGGATAGACCTCCAGAAATACAATCAGAGTGACAAGGATATTTTAGCTGCAGTAAACGTTGAAGCATCCAGCTAGCATGAGCACCTCCTACTTGAAGGCGACGAGCAGCCTGTATGAGAGGTCTAAACCCCGATGAAATATTCTTTTCAAAACGTGCAGGCACTATTGGAACAATATGAGTTGTTTGATAACCAAAGGATACAACCAAACAGTTGGTTGTTTGGTCTGATTAAGAAAAAAAATTTTTTCGTTTTTACTAGGTATAACTGTTAAGATGATAACAATACTTGTAGGATTGGAAATTTGAAAAAAAACTATGACTCATATATGGCGAGTCTAAAAATGTTAAAAACTAATGTTAAGGGTCAAATTAATAAAAATTACAATTAGGAATTAAAATACCATAATAAACAGGGGGACGGATAAAACTCAAACAAAGTAGCATAATAAGTAAGAAGATTGACATTGTGCAATTGGGGGTTTTACTATTACTATTATTTTACTACTTCTACATATTTAATCCCTGATTGCATAAACAATTACTCATCACATTAGTTTTTTATCCAAACATCCTGTCTATTTTGTTATTTCTACATTTCTAACCCCCAGTTGCATAATTTCAATCTTCTTAGTTATTATGCTACTTTGTTTGAGTTTTATCCGTCCCCCTGTTTATTATGGCATTCTAATTCCTAATTGTAATTCTTATTAATTTGACCCTTAACCGGAAACTATTCTGGAACTTTCCCATCCATCTGATATAAAAACTGATGTATAATATGAAGGGAATTAGAGTCTTCTTAGTGTTACTGTAAGGCTCAGTCATAAAAATAGGTAGGGGCAGCAGATAGTTGTAGTTGGCCACAGAATTGTTTATATGGCAGAATGAAATTCGGGGGTGGCAACTTCAATTTGCAAAAAAATTCCTACTTTGCTTCCTTTACCTACATTTCATGCTTTCTATATTGTTTTAAATGGATCTTAATTCCTGATCTTTGCAACTAAATCTATCGCCCCGCTACCCAAGATTCTCTTCCAGAAGGCCCCCAATATACTACTTTTAAGTTCATGTCAGTAGCACAACAAGCAAATGACTTTAATATATTTTAAATCCAAATTACTTTTACAATGTGAGGTAGTATTAAAAGCTACAAACATTATTTATAACACAGAAAATCAGTCTAACAATCACATTCATTGGCTGTTAAGTTTTCTACTTTTCACTCAATTCTGAGTGAACATTATTAAACAAAGAAACCTATCCACAATATTGCGATTTTAATCCTTCATCATACGGTCTTGTGACATAGCACAATGTACAGTTAACCGCTTAGTAAGCTTTTGGTCTTCACGATTAGCACTGAATGTGATTACATGGTTGGAGGCAATCGGCAGGAGGCATGGTTGTCACATTACCAACTTGACTGATAGAATTCAGTCTGCACTGACAATAGGACTAGAAACACATATTACAATAGTTACTGACTAGTGTCGAATCAAAAATACTATGATTTTTAGGTAAAGATCATAAGTCCTATGCAAATAACAAATAATTTGAAAGTCAACCACCTAGCCTAAAATGGAAAGTATCAGCGCATCTAAAGAACAGATTTGAATTTTTGCTAGGATAAGCTTTCACAAAAATGAAGCAGTTTTGTGAAAGGAATTATAACAACTCACAGCTATCTAGAGACAAAACTAAGGTTAGAATGCTGCTTAAACAATGCGAGTAAACTGCTCTTAATTCAATCACAATAACGTCTTTACTTTTGACTTCTAGGGAACTGATTCCTTAGCATTATTTTCTGCTGACAAACTTAAAACATAGACAATTTAATTTCGAAAACAAAGACATTCTTTCACTTAAAAGAAAAGCCTGAATTCGATATATACTTCCAAACAAGAAGTCTTGAGTTGTACTACAGTAACGAATGCTTCAGCAACAGAAGATGAAGACATTAGGAATATGAGTTTCTGAACGCCCTTATAGTTTAGCTCTTCGCACAAATCTTTAAAAAAACATCTCTACCCACAAAACAATCATTACACTTTATTTCCTTTTTCCGTGTGTCCTCCGGTACGTAGCAGGTTCAACTGACGACTAATTGTGCGAATCCCTACGCTGACTTATTTAGTCACTTGTTCACGTAAATTATGACACGGTTTGTTACCACTCACTGTGAAGGTGGAATCAATGATAGTAGTTGTTTTACACCTTATCAGATAGAGATTGCAGTCGTACTAACCTGTGAAACAGGTATAATTATATTGTTTGTAGACCTCAGAAAAATCATGCGTCAATATCCTTGGAGTTTCAAACGTTGATTTTTCAATACTTTTGACCTACTGGAAGCCAAATTGGAAACTTTTTCAAGCAATCACATTAATCCGAACTAAAACTTTTTCTATGAACTAGCTTTCATGAGCAGTTCTCAACTTGACTTTCAGAAGTAGCCGTATCTAGTCGAGATTCTTGAAATACATGAGTTAGTGTTAAATATCTTTAGTCACAAAGTGTTTTACAACAGATTTAATGCAATTTATCTTAGATGAATGATTTCGCGGTTAGGTAATGCAATTATTATGAAAGATGCACACGTATATGACAAGTAAACAGATATCAACCGAAAAAACAAACACCCAAATGTTGATGAAACTAGGTGCAAAAACTCAACAAAACAAGTCACAGAAATTATTAACTAGACAAGCAAATGAAACAAAATTTAAAGTACCTGAACTGCAAAATTGTTGGTAATTGTAAAAAGAAGCCAGGCAATCAACGTAATACAACAATTTAGGAACATGATATGTTTCAAACATCATCTCTGATAGCTCTACAAAATATTAGTTTAAGAAACAGTAACTTGCGAGATCTACATACACCAGGATTGCACAATGGTTCATTAATAATAACAGGATTTGAGAGCGGTTCACGGACATTGAGCTTTTCGAAAGTGTGGTTGAGAACTTGTTCTTGCACATCTAAGTTAGTGACAAGACTATCCATATACGGAGACTTCAGGCTATGACGTACAGACTCGAAGTTTTCGATATCATTACCGACAAGAACACACTGAAATATTAAAATAAGACTGCGAAAAATTACCTTTGACATTCGTGGACGATAAACGACGTTAGGGAAAATCATATGTGGATCTTCGTAACAGGCATATCCCGCACGACACTCGAAATTACCTACATTCTATAGAGTACAAAGTCTTAAGGACGAACCGTTGTCAATTATAATCGCTACATCATTAGGGACTTCTGAAGACTTCAACTTTTTAGTAGGATTGCGGGTGACCTGCTCATACGTAAAAGATGCCATTAGCAAACCCAAGGTCACGCTTCAGTCCATTCGAAAATTTGACAAGGTGACTCTCACCCGAAATTAAACATTCAAACACTAAATAAATAAGTCTGCTGCTAAAAGTCAACGGCGTCTTGAAAACAATTAGAAAATTGTAGGTGAATATTTTTTATTAGAATATGTGCTCAAATTATAGTGATTTGATTTATTCTTGCACATATGAGTAAGTAAGTATTCTAATTCATTTCAAAAATAGTTTTAATGATAAAAATAACGCTGTTACATACCCATTTGCAATTTTTCTTAGAATTATATCTTCAGTATTAGCAGCGAATGCCTGTGTGAAACTATTGCGTGAAGTTGTTCAGTGCCCTGAATTCGACGAAGGAGTTTTGGGAGAAAACTTCTTTTCAGAATTGTTACAGCGAGTGCGTGTTGTGATTTCGGCCCTGTAATCTGTCCTCACGGTTGACCAAGTAACACTAAACAGAGAAATTCCGGAAATCTCACAGGGAACTCCAAGAAAACATGCTTGGTTGTTACTTGATCTCCCAGCACTGACTGTGATATGAGACTTATTTGAATTATTTATTTGACTTATTAGGTTGATGGGCTCCCACAGTCACCTCAGCAACCACCCAAACTTATCTCGACTCAAATGACCAGTAGGCATCTAAATCACATGTGTTCAAAAGCCTGAACTGGTGCTGATATTGTAATGTCTACAGCCAGGGTGTAAAATTGTTGTGCGAAATTCCGTAGTTGCAGCAGACTCCTAGGCCACTGCAAGCATGCAGAATAGGAGTAAGGTCCCTCAACCCCCTCCGCGTTACTGGTGAGTAGATAGACATACGACTGTGGGGGTCAGAGGAGTTAGACAATTCAAATGAATGTTAGCCACTTCTCTTCAAACAGTCAATTTGTTCATCTGTGCCAATTGATTCACGTTACAGACCATAGGACTTTCTAGGGCCAAGGGCGCAGTTGCTCCGTCATGGTGTTAATATTGCTGTTCAGTTGTCGGAGCAGTTGCCATTTCTTCCTTCATGGTTTTTTCACTGAGGTTTCAAATAGAACATAGCTTGCTGGGGGTGGCAATTATTTCACAGCCAAGGGGGTCGACGATGGCATATCTCAATGGCAAGAGCCTATTAAAAGTTTACGAAACAGTGGGTACCACTTAGGAGAAGGGAACATGTCATATTTTCGCCCACCTTAACGTCAGAATTCAGATCCTCATGGAAACTGACAAAGATTAAGTATAACAACTCAGTTCACTGTGGTTTTGTTTGTATGTTCTGAGTATTTTGGAGGTTTTGTCTGGGATGGAGTGCACAACATCTAATCCTCTGTCATGAACACTTTTCATGAAAGGTGGTCATCCTCAAGAATAATTAATTTCACCAGATGCCTCTTTGTTGGGTACCACTTCAAGCCTTCGTGTAGATTGTGTGGTAATACCTTTTGGTGAACCTAAAGAGTTCAAAGCCATTGGATAACCTCATCTTAAACTGGACCAGCAAATTTTACCCTAATAAGTTTGACAGTGTAGGGCCTCAACAACGCAGCATGTCATCGCCACCCTTATATAGTAAGTGACTGAAGAATTCATAAGGATGGGACGAGTGACCAAGTAGGAACTATATCTTCTTTAAGATTCGTGAAGCTCTCTCTGTCTAGTGAATGATGCTTTCCCTCCAGTGTATTTGACTAGGTTTTCCCCAGTTCACTCTCCCTCTACCAATGTTTCGAAAATGGTGGTGTGAAAACACCATCAGTCTTGTACAGTGTTAAGAGCTATCGGTAGGTAATCTTAATTATTATTTCGATAGAACGGTCGGTTTCTAAACTGACAAGCCTTTTCGTCCCGATTTTGCATTCTGTTTCACTGTAGTTAACTGCAATCCAAACGTTCCTGTTTTTCGGATCATTTCACTAGGAAGTACTGTTTGGTGTACGTTAGATGTCACGTTCTAGAACAGCTGTTAAAATTTCACTTGGAAATTTTTTGTCAATAGTTTTTAATAAAATTGTGTTATATGTTATCTGGATTGATGGGAATTCCCATTTTCTGGCCAGTTATTTTGGTGTCCGCGTCATGTAATCTGACTGCGACACCCCCTAGAATATCGGTTGCAACGATCAGTGTTTCAGGCGAACTGTAGCAAAATATCGCTATAATGAGCAAGATGGGATAGTTGAAAGGTAATGTCATCTACACAAATAGTCTAATTTATTTAGATGCTGCACCTTTCGGCATGGTATCATTAAATTGAGACTTCACGTCTCAGGATATTAATTCAGCCTATTTTCGTGTGAAGTAGAGTCCTTTTTGACAAAAGAATTCTGTCAGTACTTGGAAATCACCTGTAAATGCTAACAGAACCTTCTGTGGGAATAGAAGTAATCATGTACATGTGTCTCACCGTATGTGTGTTTGGACAAGAATTATCGTAGGTTAAGAGGTTTTTTCTAAGTGTATTTCATGTATATTTGCACTGTTTGGTGTAGCGTAATAAGAGTTATATGGACTCAATACATAAAAAATATCTCAACTTTATTAATATTGTGCCATTGCTAAGCTGACTGCTTGGCTGGCAAACGTAGGTGGTTGTCATGATTATTATAAATGCAGTGCAGTGAAGAAGGCAATCACTCGTTTAAATTTCCTTACTGTGTCACTTAGTGCATTAATTCAGTGTATTGTATCATTATACACATGGATTGTGTCGATTATGAGAACTGGATCTAGTCAGCTCTAATATTATCAATCTACTGTCTGTTATGCCATTCTCACTGGCACTGTAAACGTAATGCTGCAATGTTTTTGATCACCAGAAGTGGTGATGAATTTTTCTTGAATTTTCCATTAACATGAAGCAGTACAGATGCCGCATCATGAGTGAAAGTTTAAGTTGCATTATATGTCATTGTTATCCTCATCAACGCAACAGGTCTGCGTATCATACATTATTTGATTTTGATTTACAGCTTGATTCCACTCAGTATTTTCAGTACAGGTATGGAATTTTCAGCATGGATATCGGTAGCCCAAATTTACAGGCCGACCATAGATATCGGTTGTGCGCCGGCAGGGGATCGAACCCCGGACCATGTGCATGGTTGGCGAGAGTCCTAACCACTGTGCCAACACTGTGCATAGCTGTTTAGAGTTGAAGCATGTTCAGCTTATATTTGATGGCTACAGATTCCTTAATGTGAGGATGTAATTTCTGTAGGATTCATAAAACTATGCTCATTAGACATTAATGAGATTATGGATCAATTTCTAAGTTACACATTTGCAATACTTCATTTAATGTAAACGTACTTAGTGTGAAGTTGATCTGAAACTAAGGTTAATGAGAGTATGATGCCTCAACAGTATGGATGTTTCAGATATTGTCTTGAAACTTGCGTATAATCTTCTAATACTGGAAAACAATTGGTCTATTGGTGCATACGGTGTCAATGTAAAAACAAGCTATGGACTACAAATACATTTATTTGCATGAGGTATTACTTAGTATTAACAGAATCAGTGTATTCATAGTGTGTGCTAATATGTAAAATTATCTTTCATAAATTCATGTTGTGCTAGTCCTTACATGTGCTTTATTTTTTTCAGGTATACGGATATGTCGAATATGAAACTAGCGGAAATATCATTCGGTCAAACTAACGTTAATAGCCTTCATCGGGATTTTCTTTTGTAAATTACTGAAATGTTTAATATACTCTTCAATTCTACTTCCTCTAGACTTTTTCAGTGCGTCGCTATACCATGTGCTTTTGTAATAAGTGAATTCGGATCAATGCATCTTAGGCTTAGTTAGAGGGATGGAGATTTACTATAGTATTATGAGACTGTTACTTTAGTCATTCGTAAGATTTCGTGTCTGTTTCGATACAGTAGCACACTGTAAAAACTAAGTAGGATTTGGCAAGTTGAATAATAATTCTGTACTGTTCGATACGCTAAAATCGCTTTATCTAGCCAGTTGCAACTGTGTACACTGTTAAACGCCAAGTATGAAGTACAAGTAAACGTAATAACTTAGGCTTGATAGCTACTTCACTAATCTGTTAATATGCAGTGACGTCATCAAATAGACTGTTCACTTGACAGTGAGCAAAGAAATAATTTTCATCTATTTCTAATATGCCGTTGAATCATGTGATCTAATATCCATCATTTCTATGATCAATAGCTGCCAAGGTCACAAGTGTTAATAAGGGTTGCTTCCTTGGTTTCAATGCAAATGACGTTCTAAAATATCTCCAGTCGTTGAACCCTTCTTGTAGCCTAGTTCCAGATTGCTTGCCTAGCCTCATTCTTAAAAAATGTGCAGATATCCTCTCACATATTTAATGAATCTTTTTCTAGAAATGTTGTGCCAGTCGTTTGGAAGGATATTAAAATTGTACCTGTACCTAAGTCTTCTAATGGAACACGCTTTAAATTTAGACCTATTGCTCTTACCTCCCCTTTTCTAAAAGCTATGGAAAAGTTACTCTTACTTAATCTTCAACCTTCACTTAAAACCTTTAACGATCTCAAATAATTCGCCTATAAACACAGTAGAAGTATTTTAGATGCAGCTGCGATCTTGCATCACAACATTTTCTCCATTATAATCGTCCACTACCAATTGTATTTTGTTTGACGAACTAAATGTACATATGCATACGAAATGAAATATGTCAAGTCCGCGGACTAACTATTTCAGTGTCTTTTAATTCGCATCTACACTGTACAAAGATGAACAGCTCTCTATCATGAGTCACAAAATGCTCTTAAGCTAAATCCTTCGAAATGGCAGACTGTTAATTTCAGTTTCCGATGTTAGAGAAAGTCAGGCGAAGCTGTTAATTCCTATGACCGTTGTGAAATTGATGACAGTGACATAGAAAACAAGTCTGACGTTAAGTATCTCGGACTAATTCATCACAAAGCGTCTTAGCCTTAAGTGTATACCACATGCATGCATAATGTTTATGAACTAGGTATGCAAACCAAGATAAACGCTAGTACGGTACACTCATTATTTAAAGA